TTTGTTCAGATTCTTTCATCACACCAAAAACAAAAGAGGACTCAATTTGCAAAAAAAATATATATTTTTTTTTTAAATATGGTCGGATCATTCAGTGCTACGTGCACAGCAACCGGCTAATCTTATTAACTATTGAACTTGTTCACTATCGCACCATATACCATTGGGGAATTTTAAAATATACTTCGTAAAAGGTTCCATTGAAGGATTTCTAAATATACTTATATCATCTATATACCTTGAGAGATTCGATTCTGCGTCCATGGGAGCTACTGTCAAGTCCGTTGAGGATCTCCTAAATTAGATGCGACCATCAAGACTTCAACTAGATACAGCCAAGAAATTTTAGCTAATCATTATATATTATTTTAAACAGCCAGATCACGCTAGCTATACGAGTCAAAAAATGGCATCTTCAATATCTTCAATAATAACAATATCTCACAGAGAACTTATAACATTAGAGAGACGAGTCGCCGCTTATTGTAATGCGATAAACTTCTTTACTAGCAGACAAAACTGAAACAACAATCATCTCGACGAAAAAAAGGTCGAAATATTCGCGAAAAAAAATTTAAAAATTTGTCACGAATGATGCTGTCTCGAATGATCAATTTGAGGAAAACACGTACAGCAATACGATCGGCGACGTAGAAAAAGTTCCAGCGAGCAGGTCATCGAAGCCAATGAAATTCAAATAAACTCCCTTTGAGCCAAAAACAAAACTGTTGTCATGAAAAATTTTGAGCTATGAGGTTCTGAAATTGTAAGATTTTTATCCTTTCGAAAGGACGAAAGGAAAATATAAAAAGTCAGTGGTAGTAAATTAACAAATTACAGAATTATATCAAAAACACTTGCAACTACGACAAAATATGCTTCCAGCACAAAAAATTCCGTGATGTGGCACCAAAGCCAACGAAATATAATCAGACAAGCGATAGACCGACAATTTGTTTGAGACAGAATTTTCAGTTCGAAAAAAAAGACGTGGCTGGATTCGAACCTAGGCCCTTTGCCGTCCCAGGCGTCGTCGCTACTTCTTGGACAAGTGCGCAGAAAATTCCATGAAAAAGTTAAAAATTGATAGCGTAATTAAAACCGTGAACGTAATTAAAACAAATAATCATGTGTACCCGAATTAAAACATAACAAACAATTGAAAAAAATTTAAAGGCTTAAATATCAAAACGTTTTTTTTCGTAACTAAGAAAAAAATTTCTAACTTAATCATACTATTCCAATAACGAAAGATGGGGCTTTTATGCAACTTTTCGTTCGACCGCGGGGCCAACAAAAAAGGAATTGATATGCAGGTTTTTTGTTTCTGGTCACATTTGAAAAAAAACACATTGCACACTACGACGCCAAGCTCTGGTACGAGTTGTTCTGAAAATTAAAAAAAAACACAATTTTTCTCATTAGGGGGACAATTTTTTGAAATATTTTGAATTCCGAATTACAAACAAAAAAATTTGATTAGATAAAAACAATTGACAGCCCACGAGCTTTCTTTGAGGTAGTCTAATTTTGTCGAACAAACACTAACACTCTAAACCATAGTTTTTTGCCACTTTGTTAGAAGGCCGAAACAAAAGTCAAACACAGCCGAAACATGAAAATAATTTTAACATTTTCCCTTCACCGGTTTACGATAATATACTGTGCTCATTCAATCAATAGTTTGCCAATCAGTTCACTAAAAAATCGAGAATTGGGAACTGGATTTTTTAAATGAAAAACTGAAACAAAAACTGCACTTACTTAGAATGACCGTCTCTTTAGATTTACCAGCTTAGAATGACAATTTAGAACGACGGTCCCGTTTATTTAGCGTACATTTTCCCTCAAAATTAGTATAACAGTGCCAAAAGCGTCTTCAGAAAAAGTTTTGATTTCCTGGTCGTGAAAACGGATGGCATAAAATTGTACCTTTTCATTCGTTTACATTTAATTATTGCAAAAATGAAATAAAACCAAAATAAAACATTACATACATTACAAACAAGTTTAATTTTAAGACAGCTTATAATATCAAACCGTTTTTCCTTGTTTTTAAAAAGAACTTATAGCTTAATCATGTGATTCGAATAACAAAGGGTGGAGGTTCAATGTTATTATCCATTCGACCGCGGGGTCCAAAAAACAATTGATATCCGGAATTTCGTTAAAAGTTAAATTTGAAAGTAGCAAATTATTGCACATCATGAAGCCAAGCTCGGGAACGTTCAGGGGCGGATTTAGAGGGGGGGGGGGGGGGGGGAGGGCGGACGCCCTTCTCCTCAGGGAATCGACCACATGCCGACCCAGAGTGTCCCTCTTTGTACTATTTTGAGATTTCCCTTTTTGGCTGACTGACCCTTAAATTTTTCTAAAGGCGCCTTAGGCGCCAAAATATACTAAATTTGAGGGGGGAGCGCGCGCCGAAAAAACGCGATTTTTTGGTCAAAATTTTCAAAAAAAATGCCTAAAAAGCCTTTTTTTCAAAAATTTGCATGCGGCGCAGAAAGTTTGGTCTTCATAGCGATTTGGGAGAGCTCAGAAGATCTTTTTGGTTGATCTAAAAAAAAGTCGACAAATTTTTCGAAAACTTTTTGAACATCCCCCCCTCGAGAAAATCCTAGATCCGCCCCTGGGTACTTTAGTAATGGTTTCGATTTATTTGCCAGTTGATATCGCAGTTTAGCTAAGGTCAGTTAATTCATGTTCAAAGACATCTGCGGCAGCCAGCAAGAAGAAGCGGATTCCAGTGACAAGTTGCGGAAGCCAGAGAAAAACAGAGACAGTATACTGCGGATCCAGCGACATTTAAAGGAATTCGCTTCAACTGAGAACACGCGTTTATCGCAGAATTGCATAACAACAAATAAATGATCAAAAAAAGCATGTTTCCGGATTCCGGCTGCAAGAGTCTCCTACAGAAGCTGCTTGTAATAAAACCGAGATTGACTTCGTAGAAAATAGCGAGAGGAAGGCGACCAACACTTCATCAATACTGGTTGCCAGATTTTTCAAAAACATCTTTTTCTGTATTTATTCAAGTACACTAACTTACCTACGGATTTCTATTAAATCGATCTAGAGGCGCCTTTGGCGTCAATATACACTAATTTTGAAAATTTAAAACTTGCCGGAAAAAGTGTTTCAAGACGAAACCTTCCAAAAGTTTTAAAGAAGATTTTTGTGCATTATTAGGAAGATAAAATTATATTTACAATAAAATAAGAAACAAAGTAGAACTAAAGTATTAAAAGGACGTCATCGAATTCAGTGTGATCGAGTTGGTCTGAAAACTGAAAAAAAAAACTTTCTCGATCTTCAGGTTTCACAAAAATAAAGGTTTTACACAGAGGCAAAGGTGCGCTTCGCAAATATTTGCGAGAACACGACCAAAAAGCAGCTCTATCAAACGAAATAAGAAAAAATAGAATTAAGCCTCAAATTAGCAAAAACAAGGCTACGTGTAGGATTCGAATCTGCGGCCTACTGCAATCAAGAGATTTTAAGTCTCACTTATTATTCACTCAGCCACGCAAGCTTAACAACCGACAAACACTTGTCACGAATTGAGCAGCTACATATGCAAATAACTTGTCAAAGCCAATCAGCAAAAAACGCACCAAATAAAAATCGACTCATTTTTGCATGTAATAATTTGGAATATTACAAACTGAAGGCATCCTTACTGTTAATGCATGTAACTAATCGCAAAGCATAAAACTACATTATGTATAATTTATGCATTTCGAAAAACTACGAGATATACTGAGTTAGAAAACTTCTGAAATCGAGTTTTCAAAATTGTTATGTTGTTTGAAACAAATCAATTTTTTCGGTTCACTTAATAAATTAAAAATGCATCAGCTGTGTTCACTTATTAGGATTCGAATATCAAACCACATGCTATCAAAAAGCTTCGTACTAATACACTCGCTTCGTAAGTGCAACACAGAGGCAAAGTTGCATCGCATACACAAGCAAAAATATGACCGATAATTCTACTGGGAAAAACTGAATGAGTGAAATTTTGAGTCTAAAAAATTTCCTAAGGGACACACGCCAATTATGAGTCTAGATAATTGCTAAGTGATGCAAGCCAATTATGACGCATTAGCAGCAACAATCAATTAGTAAAAAAAAGAAATTTTACCAACTAACATGCCTCAGTTTATAGAGCGGACGCATTCTAACTAGTATACAAAAAATTTCATTGAAAACATCCGACCCTGTCTAGGTTCGAACCCTCTTATTTTGTTGCTAGTCTCCTTCCCTACCTCTACGCTACAGACTCATGATACATTGAAGCCAAAGTGCTATTTGTAATTTAATAGTCTGGGTTAATATCCTTAGCATTGGCTGTACTTAATAGCTGGATCAAAATGAACACTTTCAAAGTGAGCATTTTGTCGCAACAATTGCATCGCTACAATATTTGCGACTTAGGTTGGAAAAAAAAGAAGTTCATAGTATAACACAAGCTATGCTTGTTTAAATATAATAGAACAATTGACCCTCGACGAGCTTTCTTTGAGGCAGTCTAAAACTGTCGAACACACACTCTAAATGATGGTTTTTGCCACTTTCTTAGAAGGACGAAACAAAAATCAAGAATCTGAAAAAAAAACTAAATTTTTTCTTTTCACCGGTTTGAAACAATGTATTTTATAAATTCAATCAATAGTTTGCCAATCAGTTTAGTCCAAAAACCGAAAATAATGAACTGGAAGTTTTGACTAAGAAAAACGCGTTTATTTAGCGTACATTCTCCCTCAAAATTAGTATGTGTAAGTTTCTTTCAGTCGTGGAAATGGATGCCGTAAAATTGTACGAGAGGATGTTCGTAGTACTTCGGTCGTCGTAGGGTCGTTGCCCGAGAAACGCTCAAAATCAAAGTTTTTATTTTTTTTTTAGCTTTTAAATAGTTTCTCAGTTCGAAACATTCTGTTTATTTTGATCAGAAACTGACTCCTCTTGCTATTGGATTGGATTGTAATTTGCACCTGAGTTTGGTGGTTGTTATTGAGTGCGGCTTTGAGCATGTGTTGAGTCCAGCTAGTCTGAGTAGAGGTGTCTACTGCCTTGCACTGTTCTTTCTGAGATCTCAGAACCATGTTCACACTGATAAGCACCACGCTGTCTTCCCATACATCTACGGAAAAAATATAACGAAAGAAACACTTATGTTTTCTTCAATGGTATAACGGGCGCATTTTGGAGCAGGCAAAAACTCGTAACAAGCGACAATTCGAAACAGTATATTCAGCGGAGAAAATTGATTGACGCGCATTTTTCCTCTCGTGCCAGATGTAAGCGCACCGGAGCAAGCGTATTCTACTTGCCAATGCCTTGCTACGATTTGTCCCCTGTTACGAATTTTCGCCCTACCATACGCCCACGTACCCATATGCAGCTATATGGCCGCCTTGAAAACTGAGATCATCTAATATTGAGAAAAATAAAATAGCTCACAAACAACTCTCTATAGTTTAACGATAGTAATGTGCTTTCAAGTACAATTACAAACCTGTTCAAACTTTTGAAAAGTGTTTAATGATAACATCAGATAGAATTAAGAAAAAAGCTACCATGAGCGAGTAAGGCTAGAGCAGCAGACATCTTGATGACGTCATCAGAAGAAGACTGCAGAGAGTGTCTCAGTTTTGAGTTGATACTCTCACTGTTCTCCATGTTCAGGCCCTGCAGAGCCTAAACACGAGGTAATATCTGCGAGACCCGTCCTCAAAATTCCTCACTTTGAATTTCCGGCTCATAAAGGATATCATTAACAACCTCGCAATTCAAGTTTGGGTTTTTGGCCAGTTCCAATATTTTTGAGTGTTGTTCCGACCACCAAAAGTGGGGAGGAACTTTGTATTCGGGTGTATTTTAGTTTTCTTCTTTTTTCCACTCAAAATCAGGTACCACAAATAATCATCGGAGAGAATTGAGTGATATATCAAATTGAAACCCTTTCAGCTGTAATTTGAACGAAAATTAAAAATTTCAATTTTTTCCGTCTAACTCAATCGAATAGTGCGAGCGAGCAGGCTTATAATAGTTAGTTTTAAACTTTCAATACAAACTATTACTTAGTTTTATTTAAGTAAAATTAGTTACCGAGAATTCTTTTAGCGCCTTCTTGGGAATAAACGTTTAAGAACGAATAAAAAAACCTGCAAAAATTTGGAAATTTTCAAAAATGTTTTTTTTTAATTTTTAGAATTTGGTATTTTTTTATGCGAAAAGCTGTTCTCAAATGTCTCTAATTTTTTCAACTATTGAATTTTTGGGCTTTTGTTCAGATTCTTTCATCACACCAAAAACAAAAGAGGACTCAATTTGCAAAAAAATATATGTTTTTTTTTTAAATATGGTCGGATCATTCAGTGCTACGTGCACAGCAACCGGCTAATCTTATTAACTATTGAACTTGATCACTATCGCACCATATACCATTGGGGAATTTTAAAATTTACTTCGTAAAAGGTTCCATTGAAGGATTTCTAAATATACTTATATCATCTATATACCTTGAGAGATTCGATTCTGCGTCCATGGGAGCTACTGTCAAGTCCGTTGAGGATCTCCTAAATTAGATGCGACCATCAAGACTTCAACTAGATACAGCCAAGAAATTTTAGCTAATCATTATATATTATTTTAAACAGCCAGATCACGCTAGCTATACCAGTCAAAAAATGGCATCTTCAATATCTTCAATAATAACAGTATCTCACACAGAATTTATAACATTACAGAGGCGAGTTGCCGCTAATTGTAAAGCGATAAACTTCTTTGCTAGCAGACAAAACTGAAACAACAATCATCTCGACGAAAAAAATGTCGAAATAATCGCGACAAAAAAATTTAAAAATTTGTCACGAATGATCAATTTGACGAAAACACACACAGCAATACGATCGGCGACGTAGAAAAATTTCCAGCGAGCAGGGCATCGAAGCCATTAAAATTCGAATAAACTCCCTTTGAGCCAAAAACAAAATTATTGTCATGAAAAATATTGAGCTATGAGGTTCTGAAATTGGAAGATTTTTATCCTTTCTGTCATTCAGATTTGTGCACGGGCGGGGGCGAAAAGTTTGAGTTTCCTTTTATACGACGCAAAATTAGGCTACTAAGCTGTTTAGACAATAACAGAAACCATTTAGACCGAAAAAAACTTTTCAGCGAAAAAAGCACAAAAGGAAAATATACAAAGTCAGTGGTAGTTAATTTACGAATTACAGAATTAAATCAAAAACACTTGCAATTACGACAAAAACTGCTTCCAGCACATTAAAATTCCGTGATGTGGCACCTAAGCCGACGAAATATAATCAGACAAACGATAGGCCGACAATTTGTTTGAAACAGAATTTTCAGTTAGAAAAAAAAAGACCTGGCTGGATTCGAACCTAGGCCCTTTGCCGTCCCAGGCGTCGTCGCTAGTTCTTGGACAAGTGCGCAGAAAATTCCATGAAAAAGTTAACAATTGTTAGCGTAATTAAAACCGTGAACGTAATTAAAACAAATAATCATGTGTCTTTTTGTTCCGACTTTTGGAGAAAGTGACAGAATATTTGTGCTCGGGAAGGTTTTGTTTCTCCAGACATTTTCGACTTTTAACTATCAATATTGACGGAACTTTTTTATGTCATCCAAAAAGTAATATTGTCTCGAGCTCAAACTTAAACAGATATTTCACCTGTGATCATTTTTTGCAAAGATAATAAGGTTTGAAAGTGGCCAAGTTGAGATATTTAACACGCATTATATTTCGTGCTATTAACGCGTAAGCGGAGATTTAATCCGTCTTAGAAATCTTTCCAAATTAAAAAGAGGTATGCTAGATGTTCTATGTAATACTTTGCTGAAATGGGGAAGATATCAATCACTATGTATTTTTTCAACGTGTCAAATAATGATTTTAAAAAACTTCATATCAAAAATTTTTCCATTTCTTCGAAAATTTCATCACTATTTCAAGTTGAACTTTACATAGACGTTCAAGCGCAGTCGCTACAAAGAGAGTCTGCGCTGATACGAGCAGTCTTGTATAGTTATAAATAAAAGTTAAAAGCGGTTCTGGAAGACTCCGGGCTTTTCCCGCCACTTGGGGCTTTTCTTTTTGGATGTTAATTTGAGACGAAAATGAAGTTCATTAAAAACTTATCATTGAGATAAAAAAACTAAAATTAATAAACCTGCAAAATTAATTTACTTTCTCTAAAATTAATTTACCTGCAGAACTGGTTGATGTACGTCCACATCAAATTGTCTGGGCTTTCTGGTGCGTTTGGGCATAACAGACCACTCTTTCATTTCTACTCCATCAAACGATGGCCGCACCCTAGATGGACAATGTCAGCTTAGACAACCTCGAGTCGTTAAAAATTTGATAAAAATAATTCCGTTAATTGAAGGAACAAATTTTGTGTCGCGCTTCCACCCAAACCTTAAGCCCGCATCTCATGCCAGAGATGAGAGATGGGCAAAGATCGGAGAGAGATGGGAGCATAAACATTCCTGCAGTAGCTTCAACTTTCTGATGAAATAGATGACAACAAAATCAGTGGGTCAACATTTTATCAATCACCACCAAGCTCTCAATCGCATCCTTGTGCGTTCAAAAACGTTCAAATTTGACATCACAAACCATTTTCAGCCTATTGAAGTAACAATTGTAAAAAAAGATGAGGGCTGAAAAAATCCAGTTGTTCAATAGAAAAGCGCGTACGTGGAGAGCGAGCTGCTATATTGAACCATTTTGGTGGGGGGTCGGAACAGTCTGAGCTCTGTCTCTTTGTACAGCTTCTGCTGATTCACCACTTTAGGCTGAGGGTACAACACGCCGATGTCTTTGTCTCCCACCCAATCCGAGGGCTTCCTTGGACACACTTCGTTGCGTTTCTGAACAAAGAAAATCTCGATTCGTTTCAGACATAAGGAGACCGTAAAATGAATATTAAAACTCTGATTTAATGTTTTTTTTGTTAAACTGGTTGTTCTGCAAACTTGATTCAGTATTTAACAGCTTACTTAGCCAATAAAATTAGAATAAACCAATTTAAAATTTAAAACATAAAAACTATATCCGGAATCTAATCAGCAAAATAATCAGTTTTAGTCTACGCTCGATGCATAGGTGGAAAAAAATTCTCGTATTAAAAACTTTTTTAGAGTGACTGTTAACCTATTAAATTCAAAGAAAGTCGAAACAAAGAAACCGAAAGAAATTTGACTACTCTGACGTTCGGAGATAATCCAAAATAGTTCAAAAAATCATTCCTTAATTGAATTATCGGTAATCAAAATAAATTGGGCGGATTATTTTAAATATAAAACATTTCGAGGTCCGGTATTCACATTTGAAAAAAATGATTAGCGATCTTTTTTGCGTACTTGTTTGAAAATTGCCAGGTTGGAATAATTAATGTGCGCCATAATTCCAGTGATCTATGCACTCAACTAAGTGCTTTATGCCAGCAGCGTGCAAAACCGGTATAAATAATGATTAAAAATTGATTCAGTCATGCTAAAGTCCTAAAAACTCTAACTGCCCTTTAGCTTTTTTGAAGTTTCGCTCCCCACACGATAGTTGCCCCATATAGCTTGAACTACTTTCAATCAAGGTTAACGTTCGGAGCAGATTAACTCATCATCTACGCTTAACATATAAGAGAAGGATATCCGGTTAATGTGCAACTAGCACAGAATGTTCCGACCACCAGTTATAGTAAAATAAGCAAAATGGAAAACAATTTTTGTAAAAAAATGAGTGGAAATACAAAAACAAATCCAAAAAATTCAAAAATTTGTCCAAACATTTTTGCAGTCTTTTGAATTTTGATATTTTTGTTTCCAAAAAGACACTAAAACACTCAAAAAAAAATCTTTAGTCGGAAAAATAACAGTCAAATTAAGTACGCTTTAATTAAGCAATTGTAAGCTTTTATGGTGTAAAAATAAATTATTGTAAGCCTGCTTGCTCACTCGAAATTAAAATCAAACATTTCAAACCGGTTTTTCTCAACACCGGGAAAGTTTTTTGAAAATTTTTAAGGTCGTTCGAAAGGGCTTCAAAATGATATATCACTCAATTCTCTCCGATAATTATTTGTCGAAGCTGATTTTGCGTGGAAAACAAGAAAAGAGAAAAAACTAAAGCACACTCGAATACAAAGTTCCTCTCCATTTTTCAAATGGTCGAAACAATGAGAAAAGGAAAAAAGGATTTTGGTCTGCCTACAGTTGTTTTAAAATAAAAATGGTTTTTTAAAAGACATGTCTTTGTTCTTAAATTCAATGCGCAACATATCGGTGTTAGTGTAGAAAAACACACTCTTGAGTCCAAAAAGTCACGCCTTCGATGACTGAAAAAAAAACCGCACTTCAAGAAGTTCACTTTAACAACTTTTGAACCTCCATTAGTTATCAAAAAATCTCAGATGATAATTGTTTTGATTTTGAACTTCAATTATCAAGTAATTTACAGGAAAAAAAACAAGAGCAAAAAAACCCTCATTTTCGTCGTAAATCAAAACAACAAGAATTTGGATCTACTTAACAATTGCCCCCCCCCCTTTTTTAAGAAAGGGGGGCAATTGTTAAGTAGATTAAAATAACGCATTTTCGACCAATCAGATTGCAGCAAAATTCGAACTTTAAATAAAAAGCTCTAATGCTATTTACTGCTTTTACTAAGAGTGGCAATTCTTAAGTAGATACCAAAGGGAGGCCGATTGTTAAGTAGATCCAATCCTTTTTCAAAGTATCAATCGGTTTTCAATCAAATAACACGAATATAGGTTCTTCTTAGATGATATGTGCAGTAGTGCTATGTTTCCTATTTTTAACTGCTATTTTGATTTTTGATTTCTTTTTAAACGTTATCTTTCCGGGATTAAAACTTTTAATTCTTTTTATCAACCTGTCTCAATATCAATCATCAAAAATGCTAAGATAGCGATAAAGACGACTGCTACTGTTAGTTTCTAACAAACAATTTTCAAATTCAAAATAAACAAGACTGCTCGTATCAGGGCGAAGCCCTGAATGTTCCGACTGCCTTTTAATGTTTCAGGAGCAGTGATAACGTATAAAAATAAAATAAAATAAGAATGAAAATTTTTTTAAACAAAAATTTGAAATTTTTATGAAAATCATCCCCCACACGCCATATAAAGTACAAAAGGATAGATTTCGTTCCTTGAAACAAACCAATTATGGCAAATAGGCTTCTTTCAACCAATTTGGAACGATTTCTAAGACGGATTAAATCTCCGCTTACGCGTTAATAGTGCGAAATATATCGCGCGTTAATTGTCCCAAATTGGTCAAAATGGCAACTTTTAAACCCTCATAACTTCACGAAAAATGATCACACGTGAAATATCTTTTCAAATTTCAGCTCAAGACAACAATAGCTTTCGAATGAGATAAAAAAATTCCGTCAAAAATGGCTAGTTAAAAAGTCGAAATTTGTCTGAAGAAAAAAAAAACCCGCCCGAGCACAAATATTCCGTTACTTTCGTATCGAAAGTCGGAACAACAAGACTGCTCGTATCAGGGCGAAGCCCTGAATGTTCCGACTGCCTTTTAAGGTTTTATGGAGCAGTAATAACATTAAAAAATTAAATGTAAGAAAAAATAAAATGAAATTTTTTTTTCTAAAATTTGATTTTTTTTTGTGAAAATCATCCCCCCACACACCACACAAAGTATAAAAGGATAGATTTCGCTCCGTGTAACAAATCAATTATGGCAAATAAGCTTCTTTCAACCAATTTGGAACGATTTTAAGACGGATTAATTCTCCGCTCACGCGTTATTAGTGCGAAATATATATCGCGCGTTAATTGTCCCAAATTGGCCAAAATGGCAAACTTTAAACCCCCATAACTTTACGAAAAATGATCACAGGTGAAATTTCTTTTATTTGAGCTCAGGACAACAATACCTTTCGAATGATATAAAAAAATTCCGTCAAAAATGGCTACTTAAAAAGTCGAAATTTGTCTGAAGAAAAAAAAACCCACCCCGAGCACAAATATTCCGTTACTTTCGTATCGAAAGTCGGAACAACAACATTTGCTGTACTTTAAAGATTTGAATTTGACTTCCCCTTCGAAATTTTATAATAGGATAAGAACTCAACCGCAGCTAATATTGCCAGGAGAGGAACTTTCATCAATTCATTCATCGTCCAATCGCATCATGCACAGTTACGCAATATCAGATTAACTGCATACTAATCAATATAAATTCAATTTGTCTTGACAACCCGCGAATAGTCACCGCTAGACGTGCGTGATGATACCAGAGCATTATGCTTAGCCGTGGAGGAGAGTCGGCGAACCAAAATGAACAATTTTCTCTTGGGAAAGATAAAAAGAGAGAAGAGGAAAGGGTCTGGGGGAAGCAGAGCGAGTAATAATGATGAAGATGAGAGAGGGTGGGTGGGGGGGGGGGGGTTGTGATTGATAGCACGGCAATGCGATCAATATAAACATAAATATTCGGCGGCGGAGGAAGAAAAGCCATCATGTTTCTATTTATTTTTCTATTCTTTCCACCTTCCTTGCCATACTTCCGCTCAACATTGTCTGCTTGTTCATTCCTCAGCAGCAGTAGCCCAATTGACTTGGTCGAGCCAAATCAGTTACCCTCAAATTTAGCTCAGCATAGAGACAGAAGCAGCACTCCATTCATATTGCCCCAATTCTCCCATATTTCATCCTTAATTTGCCAAAGATGAGGTTACGCTTCAATTGATATATTATACGACGCATTGCCGTGCCCGCCAAGTACAACACATAAAAGAGGAAGCAACTACCAACATGCTACTAGCATTTTGCCATTCAAATAATTTTTCCGTTGCTTTTTCCATTAGGCCATTCGACCACCAAGAGAACAAATAAACAGTATATGTAGCAAACAGTTCATGAAATATTGACCGCGCCTCTCTTACTCAAGGAAAAGTGAAAGCGCAGGTGTGTAGCACTTGCTACTTCTACTTTGTCTTCATAATTGTATACTTTTCAGTTGAACACTACTGCACGCCAACCAACCAAATCCAACTGCATTAAGCAGGCATCTCTTTGCTATCTCGTAGTTATAATACATACTCGGCTGCATAGTTTCCTATTAGCTGCTTGCTTGACTTTTATATATTGAAAATAGCGTGCTTTAATTAAGGTAGATAGTATATATTTTATGAGTTGCACCTGCTCACTTAAGAATTCGCTAGATGAAGTTGCTCGATTAGCGGAAGTAGAACCGGATCCTACGTGCAAATAATCATTCATGGGCCTGTCCTCCGCACAAAAACGATTCTTCTCTTCACCATAAGCTCAAACGCAGCCATACCATATGCCTAGAGACATTTCGGCCACAAATTGTAAGTACAGCATCTTGTTCCGATTGTAAAATAACAGAACTGCCTCTTTATCACTCGCATGTTGTCAAAACTCACTCTGACAGAAGCTCAAATCAGGGACTAGAATCTAAGAGGGAGCTATTAAAAATAAAGAAGTAATCTACTATTACCATTTATTAGCCCAGGATAAGCACATGTATACACTTTTGTTAATAAATTTTAAACCTAAAAAATCAGGTGGGTAAGTTACTTTCAGCCAGCCGAATTTTTCTAAGCATTTACAAGTCCCAGCCTCAGTGAATCACTGCCATAGCTCCCAGTAGGGTAATCTAAACATACTTCAGGCTGGCACCCCAACTAAGACGACGAGCGAGTCGTGCGGCGGAGAACCTGGTCACCGAGGAGTCCCGAGAACAGGAAGAGATGCCTATGACAACACGCCTGTACGTCATAAAGACGAAAGAACAGAACCGCAAAAATAAGAAAAAAATCGGCGAGGGAGATCGGAAGAGGGTTACTTGTGATTGTACCCGGAGCCTACTTCTCGCGGTATTCATAGCGGTGGTGTTGGTGTGCATCGGAATATCCATGTGTTTCATTGCATACCATGCCAGCAGCTCCATCATGGGGCTGGGGAGTAAAGATATGCACCCAGGGGAGGCGGACAAGCAGCTGAGTGAGGGGGACTCGAGAATATACAAACTGCTCTACAACTTGCGAATAGTGGGACCAATTTTAATGGGAACCGGTGGATTCATTATCTTGTGCAGCATTGTAGTGGCTTACAGGGTAAGAAAAAAAACTTCGTTTATTATGTTTTAACTATATTCTTCCAATCAAAAACGCATCTCTAAGTCTGCACATGTACAATGAGAATAAAAATACTCAAGATTTATGAAAAAAAATAGTACAGTAGGCCTCAACGAGTCCGAAAATGTAAGAGCTAGGATTCGGAATATTTAGCAAGTAGATAACACAAGATGGAACGATGTTTAGGACGAGAAGGAGAAAAAGGAAGTTGCTAGTGAGTTACTGAGTAGGATAGACCCCAGAGGCAGTGGCAATGTGGATGTCAATGGAGCCCCCTACGACATATACGATTTGGCCATCCGTAAGTATCTGCAAATCAGCGACGAAAAGACACGCAGGCGCAACACCCCTCAAGGCACAATCACACTCCCCAATGGTAAGTAACGGTACTAACTAACAGAACGTACTGCAACTAACTGCTGCGCCATTTAATCGTGTAGACGTTACTGGTATTTCATGATATACTCTTTTTGCTTAGGCTGATCGTACATGATCGTATTTTTGGTGCAGTATTTCGTTATTCGCTAATGAGTCTTCACGCAGATATAGTTCCAGGACTAAGGAAAACATCAGAACCTACAAAAGCTGTGCGCCTTGCAACGAGAACAGAAAAAAAACTGAAATTTTACGATCTAACGTGAGATCACATAAAAATCAATATCCATGAACAAAAACTTTTTGGCTTTGACTATAATTCGATAATTTTCGGCTCAGTTCTCATAACGTAAGAGAAAGTTCAAAAACCTTTCGGAAAACAGTAGAACATATTTAACTGTTACAGAAAAGAAAGATTCGACCACCGGACCGACGCAGCAAAACTTTGGAGGACGATAAAAGCGCTGGACAACAAGACGAGCAAACAGCGGAGAAACCAGCCTATCAAGTTCAAGGGGAAAAAGAGGAAGAAGACGTTCACCTCCGCAAAAGACCTGGCACACAGATTCAACAAGCAGTTCACCACCCCGAGGCCCCACACGACGTCGCAAGCCTACAGGACCATCACCAAGAGTATCCAAAACAGGTCCCTCGAAGACCATCCGACAATCACCACAACCCAGGTGATCAAGGCACTGAAGAAAGCGAAAAACTCGAAAGCCACAGGCCCAGATGGCATCACAATGATCCATCTTAAACAGCTGGGACCCAAAGCCATAGAACATCTGACGAGCACGTTCAACCTGTCGATTTCAAGAAGTCAAATACCCGCCATCTGGAAGACTTCTATCATTATTCCACTACTGAAGCCAGGAAAACCCGCCAATGAGAGTGCCTCGTACCGGCCGATATCACTTCTTTGCCCCGCAGTCAAGATACTCGAGAAGTGCCTTCTCCCGATACTCCAGAAACACCTCAAGACGGCAGAACATCAACACGGCTTCAGACCGCGACACTCAACAGTCACAGCGCTCAATGAGCTATCAACTGTAATCGCAGACGGCTTCAATCAACGAAAACCCGCTGCCCGTACTGTTCTCGTTGCATTAGACCTCTCGAAAGCTTTCGATACTGTGTGTCACGCTACCCTCCTCAAGCTGATTAACAATTCCACGCTTCCAGGAGCACTTGTACGCTGGTTAGCCACGTACCTGCACGGTAGACAGGCCCGCACACTGTTCAGAGACACGGTGTCAAGCAGTCGTATTGTCAGATTTGGAGTTCCACAAGGATCGGTTGTGGCTCCTACGCTGTTCAATTTCTACGTGGCAGATGCTCCAATGCCTCCACCGACAATTTTCTTAGTATCCTATGCTGACGAGTTCACAGTTTTCGCCCTTGGGACCGACATAGAGACACTAAGCAAAGACATCAACAGCTACCTGACGACGCTCTGCAATTTTCTAGACTCTAGAGATTTGGAGGTTTCAACACCGAAATGTTCCGTCACGCTCTTCACGCCCAGCACCAAAGAACACAAAATCACACCAGACGTGAAGATCAACGGGAAAGCCCTCATTCTAGCGAAAACACCAAAAATACTAGGCGTCACCTTCGATACAGCCCTGACATTCGGCCCACACTGCAAACTAGCCGCAGCTAGAGGAAGGAGCAGAGTGAATATCTTGAAAGCGCTGGCAGGAACTACCTGGGGACAGAGCAAGGAAACCCTCATAGTAGCCTACCAAGCCTTCATCAGGCCCGTCTTAGAGTACGCATCACCAGTCTGGACTCCGATCGCTGCACAGACCCACGTAGAAACGCTGCAGAAAGTCCAAAACTCAGCCCTAAGAGTGGCCACAGGATGCACCACGATGACCGCTATCCAGCACCTGCACGACGAGACGAAAATTCTACCTGTCAGGCGGCATATCCGTATGAAAGCAGTCCAGCACCAGCTAGCCCATCATCTCGAAGGACACCCTGGCAACAGGCTGCTAGACCGACCGGAACCGCCCAGAAACATGAAGGAAACGCTCTTCAGCAGGTACGAGAGGTACATCACTGCACTCCTCGAAACATCCGATTCAGAAGAAGACGACGACACGCACGTTACCGAAGAGGACTACAGAGGGCTCCTCAAAAAAGTGCACACAAATGAGGTCAAAGACGCCCTAGACAACCGGGACAACAACAAAGTGCTCGACGAACCAGCCCCCAAACTGAGCAAGGATGAATTACGACTGCCGAGAGGTACTAGACGGACCCTTGCCCAGTTACGGAGCGGTTACTCCCCATTCCTACAAAGCTACCTACACAGACTAGATGAATCAACCCCAGAAACATGCCCACAGTGCAACTCAGAAACCCACACAACGGGTCACCTATTCAGGTGCAGCGCAAACCCGACTACAATCACCCCCCACGCACTCTGGGAAAACCCGATCGAAGCAGCTGCTTTCCTGCAACTCGATACAGAAGAAGCCACAAATGAGGGACAAGAGGAGGGCCAAACTACGGGCACCTAGGCAACAACAACAACAACAACAACAGAACAGAAAAAAAACTGAAATTTTACGATCTAACGTGAGATCACATAAAAATCAATATCCATGAACAAAAACTTTTTGGCTTTGACTATAATTCGATAATTTTCGGCTCAGTTCTCATAACGTAAGAGAAAGTTCAAAAACCTTTCGGAAAACAGTAGAACATATTTAACTGTTACAGAAAAGAAAGATTTGAGCAACAAAAACAGTGCGAAGACGTCCCCACGCACAGACACAGATCGGAGCACTGGCCAATTAGAGAGCAGGAAGAATTCTATGAAGTCTCTGGAGAATGCCCTCATTAAGATAGGTGGACTGGTGCCTCAAGGCATGTTCATACGCAGGGGGTCGGAGGTAGCTCCCAGTCAGCTGCAGGTATGCAAAAAATAACATGAAAGACAGAATATTTCGACCATATCTGCCAACAATTTACTGTAAAATAAGCAAATTAGATGGAATCAAAACAGAGAAATGCGCAATTAGTTTTTTTGTGACAAGATAAAATTTCGCGGTCCTGTCTTTAAGGCCCCGAATTGTGATAAGTATATTATTTTGCGTTAAGAGGAACACCTCACTTTAAAAGAACCTCACTTTAAAAGAAACTAGAAATAACATGAAAAAAAAACTGATTGCTATTCGATTTTCGTGTCCACTTATTTGGATTAAAACCTCGATCTTTGGGTCACGCGTAATTTCTGAAAAATATCTGGCGAGAAAGTTCATGGACAATGAATTTTTATTGCGTCCAATTTTTAATCAGAGAAGAAGCTGAACTTGGCAAACACGAGCAAAAATGGCAAAAAGAGCCCCTACAATTCAAGAGGAAAAACTTGAAATAACAACATAGTCAAATGACAGTTGGAAAGCTGTCGATGAACGCAAGAAAAACGAAAAAAAAAACATATTTTTAAAAAGCCTCACCTTTCAAATTTTAAAGAAAAAAGGCCTGTACAAAGGTGGTAGATGGGCGTTTTAAAAAACCAAATGTGATAGAGGGGTCATATATCTCACTAATTGTAAGCAAATACAGATTTTACTAAATTTATACATGCCGCTCGATATAATTTGAGATGTTCTCAGAGGCAATTAACCTGCCTCATTTGAGCTAAGTTATGGCTTCATTTGAGCTAACTTGGATGCTTTAATTGACATCGCCGGAGCAAAAATTTAGAAAACCTTGTGGCAATCTGTTTACTGCTAGCTTCTTGAGACCACTTTATCGCATTTGAACTATATGGCCTCAAAACTCTTAGAATTTCTAGAACAATTTACGATGAACTTTTTTTGATAAAATTGCCCAATTTGAGAAAACTGGAACAATAGGTAGATTTTTTTCAACCGCTCGGAAACATGAAAATCCAACTTCGGAACTAGACGGTCATGCTTTTGCCCTTTTTGATTTTGTGATTGGAGAGCGCAATTTGCGTTCCGTTTAACAAATGAATTGGAATTGAACTTAAAAAAATCAAAAAAAAATCAACTCGACGAGAAAAAATTTCAAGCCTGTTGCTTAAAAAAAATTTAAAAAATCAACTCGACACGTTCATCGACACTTAATGACAAGGTTGGTAAAAAAAGGTTTTTCATTGAAAAAATCAATTAAACAGCGTTCTTTTAATAAAAAACATGTTTTTTTTCAGTTGGTTCAGTTCGCAGTAAAGAAATGCAAGTTTTTCGCATTTTTAAAGCTCCATTTGGTTTCCTTTAATTTTCATAGAACATTCTTGTCGTTGAGAAATGACTTTCTAATCCAGCTGAGTTGGAAACTCCGGAAAGAGAGCCAATAGCATTATCAACCAAGGCTGGTTCGGAACTCAGCCTCTTTCCCATTCTGATACCCCTATTGCTACGGTTCGACTCTCAGACATCGCTAGTTTTCAGCGGAAAATATTATAAAATAACAAACACTGTTTTTTATTTTCTGTTTTAGAATGTGCTTTTTTGCCTTGTTTCAAAACATGTATTAAAACACTCCCAACCCTTCTTAATAAGCCTTCTAAAAGAAAACTGTGATTACTTCGGAATCGAGCCCGAGTCCTCCGGAATCCTGGGCACACTCTAAACCGCTATACCACAGCTGCCACCGACGTTTGACTTAAATACCAGACACAAAGGAATGCGTTTGATCTACCCGGATGTAAGTTTTAACTAAGCTGATGTAAGTTTTAATTAAGCGGATGTAATTATTAACTAAGCGGATGTACGTTTTAACTAAGCAAATATAGGCAGATTTTGCAATAAAGTTTGCGATTTTGATTGGTAAAAAAGTGGCCTTCTAAAATAAAACTTAATCAACCACAAGCTACATTTGTATAAACAACGATATCAACGCTGAATTAAAAACTTTTTCAGTATATATATTCTGATTCTTCCAGAACCGAACGTGTGGAGGGGTATATCTTCCGTTTAGCAGTATCCGGTTCCACCTTCAGAAGGCGGAAGACGCTAGGGCCCCTTCTTTTCGATTGAAAATTTTATTACTAAAATTAATTTGCAAATAACTGCGAGACATGGTATTATAAAACGATCAGTAAACAAGATCTGGGCCTTATAGTAATGTAGCACTCAATTCCATGGCAGCCTCTCTATGAGGAAAAAAAAACAATACTATGAATGTAGGAGAGCGAGGATATGGGCAGGACAGGTTCAGTGCTCATTCCAAGATCCACGCAGCAGACTAGCCAACAGAGCACTGTGGAAGTGAACAACTATCCTCTGAGGACCACTGTCAGTTGCACTGTGGCCATTCCCAATATGTCCAGAAACACAAACAACCCAGTCCAGTCAGAGAGTAGCAGCGAGGATAGTAATAAATCCACACCCAAGAAAAACAAAGTCAGTAATTCTAACAACAACTTGCTCTAATTATGACTCCAAGAACACATTTAATAGCTCTTAATGGCATAATTGACCGCAAATTATGGCATTTACACACCAGGTGCTTTCGAATTTAGAAAAAATAAAAAGGCAAAGTTGCTTAATATTTTGCAGCGAAGAAATTCTTGGGCAAAAGTCTGCGTAGGTCCAGAAAACATGCGTGGAAGTGTTAATGGTTTGATCGCCTAAAAATTTAAATTTCAAAACAATTAAATAATTTATGTCTACAAAAATGTATGCTTCGATTTAGCGCCCCAACAGTTCTGTTCTCGATACACCTCGCACTCAAGAGCAGACTCCGAATCAGACAACAACGAATAAGAAACAGAGCAAGAGCGAAGTGCAGAAATCAGGAAATGAAAAGAGCAGCAAAAGCAATAACCAACCTTCAAGAGCAGCTTCAGGCCGAATACCAGGCAACCGGAAGAGTGTTCCCTTGCTGGTTGTAAACGACCACATTAAAGTTAGCAGCGCATTTAAGCTCTGATCCGAAACCATGATAAAATTAAAATAGTAGGTGGTTGTCAAAGTAATGCAGAATTTTCTGACCTCGGTAACTATTGCAAAAAAAATGAAAATATCAAAGTCGAAAAATAATCGAAAACCATTTTCGAAAAAAATCGTATTTTTTTCTTCCTGAGATATGAGGGTACGGAGAGGGGAATGATATTAACCTTCAAGAAATAAACAATTACACAGATGCGAAGCGCAGTCTTGCATCACTTGCATTTTAGCACAAACATATCATAGCAAGCTAGCCGACAGAACAAAAAGATGATAGCCGCGAAAAACGATTAAAAAAACCCAGATCTACCAAATTTTTATACGTCTGCTTCGAGTTGCTTAGAATGCAGTTCATGTTAAGGAAAACATATCAAATATTCGGTATTAAATTGGGATCGAAACAAAACTTACAGAGGCGAAGCTGCGCTTCGCAAACGCTAGCGATAGAACACGACAAAAAGATTTATAAAAAAAACTAAAAATAAGCCTCGGCTTCGAACCTGGCGACCTCGAGAATTGGAGTCTCACGCCCTGCATTTCAAAAAATTGCGAGATATATTGAGAAAGAAAATTTCTGAAATCGTGTTTTTATTATTGTTATGTTGTTTGAAATAAATAGCTCTTTTCGGTTCATTTGATGAATTAAAAAGGTATCAACTGTGTTAACTTATTACTATTCGAATGTCAACGCACATGCCATCAAAAGCCGCAAAGATGCCACCAAAAGTTTGAAAAAAAAAGAATAGTCGTAGTATAACACTAACGCTCACTAAAGTTCGCTAGTGTAAAGAAGCGGCAATTAAGCCGAAATAATTGAGCGACGAAAAAAAATTTCAAAAAAATTGAGCTTTGGAAAAGTTTAAGTCATCACACCCTATGGTCAACTAAAGAGTCAACAGCGATTCGTATATGAATTAAGTAGTTTGCAAGCTATTTTTTTTTCTCAGGGAAAAAATTTTACATCAATAACTGGAAACTGCATTTTTTAAAATCAAAATTCAATAGTTTTGACACTAATTTAGTTTTTTTTTAGCAGACAGGCCAAAACCAGAAGAAGATAGAGGAGTTGAAGAGAGAAGACAGCAGTGGGAGCACAGGTAGCGATACAGGAGTGATCCCCAATGGAGCAATGTGCCCCCCTTCCCCTTCCCCTTCCATTAATCATACTGGAGGACTCAATCAGCTCCCCAACAAGGCAATGAAACTGACAGAAGTGTCCGATTAGAAAACTAGAAGACTAGAGTGTTGTTGAGGGCTTGTGATTGTTTTCTAAAATCAATTAGATATTGCTATAACTCGTTTTTGAGTTGCATACAAATTGAGCGACTCTTTTTCAGCCCCCTTTCATTGATGTTACTGATTTTTATTTAAACAAGAGCAGCCGGTCGCCGCGCAAGTATCACCGAAAACGCAGTATTAATGAAAAAATTCTATAAGATACTTTCATAATTTTTCAAATTCGTGTGTTTTTTGAGGCGTTGTGTGATGAGAGGGACTAAACGTTTTGCAGATAACTTTTTTGATTTTTTTTTTAAAAAAAATTTTTTTGCCAAGAAAGCGCTGCATAAAAATTCATAAAGCAGTTTTCCTGTAGTAAAACTAAGTTTTTTGCTACTTGAAGGAAAAAATTTCTCTCATAAGATTTACTCGCTCGCTGTACTCGCTCGAAATTAAAAACCAAAACCTTCGAATCAGTTTCTCGACACTGGGAAGACTTTTTGAAAAATTTTCAACATCTTTCGAATCACGACTGAAATGGTTTCAATATGATATATCACTCAACCCATTCCAATTTCCGATGATTAATTGTGCTACCTGATTCTGCGAGGAACAAGGAAAAAAAAAAGAAAACACACCCCAAAGACATAGCCTCTCCCCCTTTCAGTGGTCGGAACCAAAAACTTACACAGCAAAACGTTTAAATATACTTGCCCCAATTGAATGCAGAGAAACTTTGAGAAAAATTGTTAGGGGAAGACTGGAACTTGTTATCGTAACTAGTAACGAAGCGTACCATAATAGTCATAATAAAAACTTGTTGTCCTGAAGTAGTATTGCAGCGTACTATAATACCATAAAAACAATACAACTATTACCTCGCCATACTCGCCCGAAATTAAGAATAAACGGCAAAAATTCGACACCCTTTTTTCTCGGAACAAAAAAATATTTGAAAATTTTTAAAAGTCGTTCGAATCACGGCTGAAAGTGCTTTAAAATGATGCATCACTCGGCCGATTCTAATTTTTAACTGTGGTACCTGAGTTTGCGTAGAACAAATAGTTAGAAAATCTAAAACAAACCCAAAGACAAAGTTCATCCCCACTTTCAGTGGTCGGAAAATGACTTTCGCTGTAATAAAACATTTAAAGATATATCAAATAACAGCTTTAAAATTTTTTTCTACACAGAAGCGAAGCTGCGCTTCGCAAACACTTGCGAGAACACGACCAAAAAGCAGCTTTATCAAGTGAAGTAAGAAAAAGAAGAAAAAAGCCTCGAATTAGCAAAAACTCGGCAACATGTAGGATTCGAATCTGCGACCTACTGCAATCAAGAAATTATGAGTCTCACGCGCTATTCACTAAGCCACGCAAGCTTAACAACCGACAAACACTTGTCACGAATAAGGCACCAAATACAAATAGACTCAATTTTGCAAAAGATAATTTGAAATATAACAAACTGAAGGCAAACACACCAACTTTGCATGAAACAAATCGCAAAGCATTAAGCCAGATTATGTATAAATAATCCATTTCAAAAAAATTACGAGATATATTGTGTTAGAAATTTTCTGGAATCGAGTTTTCATTATTGTTATCTTTGAAACAAACCACTTTTTTCGGTTCATTTGATGAATTAAAAATGCATCAACTCTGTTAACTTATTACTACTCGAATGTCAAAGCACATGCTATGAAAAAGCTGTGAAGGTGCCCCAAAAGTGGCACCAATATTTGCGACTTAAATTGGAACAAAAAGAAGGTTCCGTACTTCGCAAGAGTAAACATCCAAATTGCGGTACAAACTATTCTTAACTAACTATTTTTGTAACTTTACGAGAAAGATACGGTGAAATTTGAAAAGAACCAAATATGCTTAAAACAAGAAAATTTCCTCATTTGATAAAGTGAAATCATAAGCACACAACATGATTCAATTAAAAAGAGCCAACAGAAAATTGGAAAGGGGTCACTAAGGAAGTCGGACAAAAATTTTTTGACTTCTTTAAACATTTTAAAACTTTCACATAACAAAAAAAACATCCCATACGCAGGTCTTTGAAATGCGAGCAATGTTTATGATCGACACTCTTTTCGTAAAACGAACCCAATTAACTGGGTGAAAGAGTTTTTGTTTCTTCCACTGGGAAATCTAAGAATTAAAATCCAAGTTTGACTTTAAACTTTATTAACGTTTTCTACGCCATTTGCACTGTCGTATATGGAGAGCGCAATTTGTCTTCCTTTAATTTTGATTTTTCGCGGTTTCAGACTGATTTTTCGCGGTTAACTTTTAAGACTCCTTTCCGAAAAAAAATCAACATTGCCTAAGAGAAGAGTGTTCACTGTGTTCATTGCCACATAAAGATGACGTTCAAGTGTAAAAAAACCGAAATCAATCACAAATCATATTGGGTAAGGCCAGCATTAAAACGATTTTTGTTTTAGCCAAAGGGCGCCACAAAAATGAAGGAAAAAATTAAAAACACAACATTTCTGTAGTCATCATTTTTATCGCTATAGTCATGAGTTATCCCACTCACCATTCTGGGCAGGGGAAGACAGGGCAAGTCCCTGGGGTCCTGTGTGGGGGTCGCATCTGAAGTAGGCTTGCCCAGTTTCAACAACTTCGCGTGCAATCTCTCTATTCGCACACTAAAGGGGGTACTCTGTCTGTAGAGAGAAGACTGCCCAGACTGAGTCCTAGAAGGGTTATCGGAGTCCCCAAAACCCAGTCGTGAAGTATCGGCAGTGGTGGGAGCGCGACTGTAGTTACCCAGCAGTTGGTGGTCTATGCTTATCATGCTGGTCTGGGAAGGCGTAACAACTGGGTGCTCGTTGTTGCTGCATGCCAATTTAGCCCCGTCAGACACTTTCTCGCAAATACTGAATATTCTTTTGTCCAAAGTTTCAAGTGCGCGTCTCTATTCAAATTGAATTTAAACATGACATCAGGTCTGATTAAGGGGGCGTGGAGGGGATCTAACCACTTGAAGGATCCCTTTTCGGTACTATTTTACTTCATCATCTCGCAAATATTGTGAGGGAAAGGAAAGAACACTGGTTCAAACTTTTCAGGATTAAAGTGTTGAAGTTCATAATTCTGTTTTGAACTATTTGTCCCTCTCATAAATGGTTAAGCCTGTAAACTAATCGCAGTAAAATTATGCCAGGTCTTGAGTAAAACTTTTAAAAGTGGGAGTTGGTGAAGTTTTTCATGGCGCTTTAATTAGATTTAAAACTAACCTCAAAGTCATAGAACTCTGGAAGATTGGCGATTAGCTCGGGCGGCGGTGGCAGCCCTATTTCACTATCTAAAGCAAATAACTCCCCAGATCAGGAGAGTTTGAATGAAATCAACTCTTTGCTCGGCAGACGGATAAAGACGCTTTAAATAGCATTATGCAAATAACCGCTGAAAGGTCGAAAAAAAATTCCAAAGAGGAGCAATACTCAAAAAAGTTCCTCAATCAATAATTAACAAAGAAATCAATGATGAAGAAATCTGATGAGCCTGTATACCTTTTTTATTAAGCTTAAAATGTAGCCCGTATTTCAATGTCGAATTAGATATAAGAATGAAATATGAATTATTCATACCTGGAGGTTCAACATATGATTCGCACACCGCGATTCCCAAATTGTGAAGACTGTTGGGATCCTGCATAACCATCGCTTCAGTGTTCCTATGGAACGAGTACTGCTTGTGCTTGTGCTTCCAGTACATGTCAACCACGTCCAATTCCTCCTTCCCTTTTCGTAGCGCATTGTTGGATCCAAGAATGCTGTTCGGCAAGAAGTGAACTGATTTGCTGCTTCCAAGAGCGCGCGAAGCATGCCGCGAAGTTTCCGGCGACCACGGTGAGCTTCTAGCAGTTAGATATACCTGTTCTCTCTTCTGATAATTTATAGTCGGCAGCTTTGCTGATACTCTTTGAGCGTTCTAAGCAGTAAAATTGATCATTGTCTCCATAAACATTAATTAACGCGAGTTTTGAAATTTGCTTCATTTTTTTTTTCAAAAAGTTGAACCGATGTGACAAAAACAGCCACTTAAATGATGAGCTTACAAAAAAAACTGGATTAGAAGGATATATACACCAGTTAATTCAACTACCACGAGCACATGGATGCAAGGCTTAAAATTAAAAGCTTTAAAATGCCTAAAATTACTACGAACTGAACGGTTACTTCTCCAATGGCATAAACCCCATATAGCAGAAACACAAATTATTTACCAATTGACATAAGCAAATTCAAAAACGGTGTGAAAAGTTTGAGGAGTGAAAAAGTTGATTCTTTTCAGACAGTTTTCACACCTTATTTTGTTCTTTTGTCAACAAATAACTAATCACCCATCAATGTTTAATTCAAACAAGTATCATATTTTTTTTAAAAGGGGCCAAATTGAAATTTTTAAAAAGGGACAGAGTTGCAATTTCTATTATGACCGATACTTTTATTTAAAAAAATAGAATCTACATACAAAATTTTTTTAGGCGTTGCACTGAACACTGAAACTAAATGTGGCTCCAGACTCGTTCTAAATATTGAAATGGATGCTTTGTTAACTCATCCAAATTGACATGCACATATGGCCCACTATAACCGCTATAAAGATCTCACTTCAAAAACTAAAATTCTTTCGGAAATTTCTCAAAACACACAGGAGTCAGTTGCCCAAAGTTACCAAAAAGTTGTAGTCGAAATTAGAGATACAAGTTTCTCCTCAGTCAGATATGTTAAATCGACGTTGTATCTTCAGCCGAAACGCCTAGAAATATCGAATTGTGAAGAGTTAGACTTGTATGGGCAGAAACACAGGACGGAATATTTTTTGTGTGAAAAGCGACAGAGTGGTATGTGGTCAATTGTTCTTAAGTGTGGTAATTGAAAGCTTTTTCGAAGTGCAGAATAACTCTTTCAGATGGCACTTTTGAATCTTCATTTCAAGTTTACGTTATTTTCGGAGTATTTGAAGAATCAAAAACTCCATTGGTTTGGTGTCTGCTCTAAAATAAAACGACAGAAATATATCGACGAATGCAAAAACTAATATCAAGAAAGTTTCCGAAAACGGACCTACAACTAAAAACCTCATTACAAAAACGGTCCTACAACTAAAACAAAATTACCTTGAGCTCCGAGCTAGGATTTAAGGCGAGATACAACCCTTACACCAAAAGAAAGGCTGTTAATTTTCCGCCAAACCAAAACCTATTAACAATGAAATAGTTCATGCTGTGTGCACATGAGCACCGGGAATCAAATCAAAGCCTGTAAAAAGGTAATAATACAATTCTACTACACAAGTCTAAAAATTCCAGCCAAAAAAGGAGGAAAACGTTTCTTTTTCTTAATTGGACCTCTTTGAGGCATAAACCTATCACAAATTCATCAAAGCTGTAAGAATCTTGTGTTTAGGGCAGCAGCAGAAACATAATTTCCACCAGCCATTGTTGGAGGACTTTACTTTCAATTCTTCAAAGCAATTTTGTCAAAATAAGGATTTAGGATTATTTTCACACATTACAAAATGATAGAAGAACCAAACCGATTCATTCGAAAACTCACTACCATAGGTTTTCTATCAGTGTTTTCTGTCTGCCAAAAATTTTCGAGTAACTTAAACAAACATTGACAAGATTACTGGTTTCACAATTTACAAATCTTAACGTTTTTTTAATCGTCAAGAAAACAAAGGAATGGTTCAATAATACTTCAATTGAAAATTTTCATGAAGACTTTTTTATTCAGTAAAAAAACTTGATGTAATGATTTAATTTATGACACACAGGCGAAGCGGAGCTTCACAATTCTTTATTTCTTACTATGCAAAAGCACATTACGCTACAAGATAGTGAATGGTAAAAAAAAGTACAAAAAATTCAGTTGAAAAAGCTACTTGAAATAACTTGAAAAGTTGACAAAAAACAGCTACAAAACTTCATGATTGCAAGGAATCAAGTTTATAAACAGCCTTAAAAAGTGTTGGAAATCATTTACCGAGCAGAAACAAATTTTGAATCGAAACCTGTTGAGGCGAAAACAAAACGGCTGTCAAAAGAAAGTCATAAAAATTCAAAAGTTTTTACTACCCATCCAAAAGTTTATACGACCCAAGCAAAATCAAAAACGGTGTGAAAATTTTAAAGCCTGAAAAATTTATTTATTTTCAGACAATTTTCACACCTTATTTTGTTCTTTTGCCATAAAATAACTAATCACGCAACAAAATTTAATTCGAACAAGTGTCAGATTTTTTTTAAAAAAAGGGCAAAATTGAACTTTTTAAAAAGGGACAGAGTTGCATTTTCTATTATGACGGATACTCTAAAAAAATAGAATCTACTTATAAAAGTTTTTTTAGGCGTTGCACTGAACACTGAAACTAAAAGTGGCTCCAGACTCTTTCCAAATATTGAAAAGGATGATTTGTTAACTCATCCAAATTGACATGCACATATGCCCGACTATAACCGCTATAAAGATCTCACTCTAAAAACTAAAACTCTTTCGGAAGTTTCTCAAAATTCACTGGAGTCAGTTGCCCTAAGTTACCTAAAAATTGTAGTCGAAATTAGAGATACAATTTTCTCATCATTCAGAAACGTTGAATCAACACTATCTTCAGCAGAAAATACCTAGAAATATCGAATCGTTAAGAGTTAGACAAGTATAGGCAGAAACGCAGGACGGATTATTTTTTGTGTGAAAAGCGCCAGAGTGGGGAATAGTCAATTTTTCTAGCGTTTGGCAATTGAAAGCACTTTCGAAATGCAGAATAATTTTTCAGATGGAACTTTTCAATCTTTACTAAAAATTAGTCATCAAGTTTACGTTACTTTTGGGGTATTTGGAGAATCAAAAATTCCATTGGCTTGGAGTCTGCTTTAAAACAAACCACAGGAATGTAACGCTGAAGGCAAGAAATAGTATCACGAAAATGTCCAAAAACAGACCTACAACTAAAAACCTCAAAAATTACCTTAGACTCCGAGCTAGGATTTAAGGTGAGATACAACCCGTACACCAAAAGAAGGACTGTTGGTTTTCCGCGGAATCAAAACCTATAAACAAGGAATTAGTTCATACAGTGTAAAAAAGAGCACCGGGAATCAAGTCAAAGCATGTAAGAAAGTAAAAATACTGTTCTATAACAACAACTTTAAAATTTCCAGCCAAAAATAAGAGGAAAACAGTTTTTTTTGTTCATGAGACGTCTTTGAGGCATAAACCTATCATAAATTCATCAAAGTTGTAGGAATCTTGTGTTTTAGGCAGCAACAGAAACAGACTTTCCGCCAGTCCAGTCAGTGTTCGAGGATGTTATTGTCATTTCTCCAAAGCAATTTTGTCAAATTAAGCATATAGAATTATTTACACCTTACAAAAATGATAGACGAATCAAACCGATTCCTTCAAAAATTCCTTGCCATAAGTTTTCTATCAGTGTTTTCTGTCTGCCCAGAAAATTTCCAGTTACTTCAAGAAACATTGACAGGATAATTGGTTTCACGATTTAGAAATCTTATCGTCTTTTTTATCGTCAAGAGAACAATGGAATGGTTCGATAAGACTTCAATTGAAATTTTTCATGAAGATTGTTTAATTCAGTAAAAAAAATTGATGCATTGATTTAAATTATGACACACAGGCGAAGCGGAGTTTCACAATACTTACGATGCGAAAGCACATTACGCTACAAAGCACATTACGCTAGTGAATGGTAAAAAAAAAAGAAGTCAAAAAAACTCAGTTTAAAAAGCTACTTGAAATAATATAAAAATTTGGACAAAAATAGCTAGAAAACTTCATGATTGCAAGAAATCAAGTTTAGAAACAACCTTAAGAAAACTTGGAAATAATTTACCGAGCAGTAACAAATTTTGGGTCGAAACCTGTTGAGCCGAAAACAAAATTGCTGTCATAAGAAAAACATAAAAATTCAAAAACATTTACGACCCATCCATTCTTTAACACTTAATCACATAAAAATATATTTACACCCAAAAGTACGCAATATAAATTGACTGAGCCGACATAACATGAAAGAGACTGTTAAAATAATTTTAAAAAATTACCCAAAATCAGACTTGGTAAATTTACTAACTACTGAACTTTCAGTTATAGTAGAAAACTGTTTAAATTGGAACTAAAACCATGCTGTAGAAAGTAGACAATAAAAACGTACCAGATGAAAAAAAAATTGTTCAAAAACGGAAAGTGAACCGTCAGAAACTAAAACGAAAACCACGAACCCGAAAAAAATTCGAGAAACGGGCTCTACTTAATTACCACTTAAATGTTGGTAGCTTTACTTAAATTTTCAAGGAATTGAACGTGTCAGAAGTGATATTTACCATTCCTACTAAATTAACCATTCTCTCAACAAAGTTATTTACGGGAAAAAGTGTAGTAGTCGATTGCAATACAGTTGCTGATCGCAAGGGCAGTAAGTTGAAAAAAGATACCGGGCCAAAAATGGCCATACAGCTAGTTAATAATACCCGAGTCGAGATCCCGCTCAAAAAGCGCTCAAGATATGAGCGGTTTTCCAGCAAGATTTGAGCGGTTTGGGCGTTTTTTTTTGGAAAAACCGCTCAAACCGCTCAAATCTTGCTTAGAAACCCGCTCAAAAACCGCTCATTTCTTGCTGTGGTTTTTGAACGGTTTTTCAAGCAAGATTTGGGCGGTTTTTAAGCGGTTTTTGAGCGGTCTTATAAAGAAAACCGATTAACCGATCAAAAAACCGCTCAAACCGCTCATTTTGAAGCAAGATTTTGAGCGTAATTGTCTAAAAAAAACCGCTCAAACCGCTCAAATCTTGCTTCAAATTAGGTGAAAAATCTCGACTCGGGTAAACAGATATCGGTATCAAATCTCGACGCAGAAAGCTGAATTAACAATCAGGACACAAATTTCAGGAAGTCGAGAGAAAAAAATAATAAACCACGCCGTCGAATAAAATGGTTTCAAACATACTGCTGATAATGAAGACGATAATAAACTCGATTGCTGCGATGTTAGCAGAGAATTTTATGATCAGTTTCAAAACGTTCATAATTCAAGTAATTTAGGCAAAATCATAAAATTAGGATCTACTCTATAAGATTGTCGATAAAAATGCCTCAATTTCATCCTTATTGCTATATTAGATAAAAAACGAAAGATTCACCCAGATGTTTTCGTAACGAAGTGAAAATTTCGGAATTAACTTTTTGAAATCCTAGTTATGACCAAAAACGCAGCGATATGATATCATATTCGACCTAATAGATTTCTTAGAGGTATTTAAAATGATCCAAAAAAACCCACCCTCCTTGATAGTCACTTCCTAATCTTCGCAACTCTTATTAGCAGCCTGCCAGAAAAATTTGCATTCAGTTTCCAATAGAGCAGACCCCGAAAATTTAGGTGCATTTTCAAGTCTTATTACATACCATTGACTGTATGATATCAGCAGCCTTTTCGCACTCTGTGAGTCCCGCTTGCACGTTGTTCTCTATCCTGTCGCACACCCACTTCAGTCTGGCTCTGAGACGGCGCTGTTCCGAGTAGTCCCTGTCCTCGTCCTCGCATTCGATCAGTTTCTACAACAAACATATAGCTGTTTGAAAGGGACAATCCTCTGGTACAAGAACACAAAGTTGATATTATCCAATGAGAACTGCTTCTTCGAAAGTCTGCAATTTTTTTAAAGAAAGCCATGCGAAGTGAACAGTTTTTCCAGCAGCTATTTAAACTTTCGAAACTCATGGAAAAAATATCCTGGCTTAGGTTTTTCGGGGTAGCAACTAATGTGGCGAAGGAGCTCGCATACTGTTAATTGAAGCCATTAAATCAAGTATATGACGTAATATACAGCTCAAGAAATCCAAGATATCCAAACAATTTGCAATGCACGCGTTGAAAAAAAGATTAACTGGAAAATCCCCCAGCCTATTCAAACGGTTTCCTACAATTTAAAAACAAACAATTTAACACCGTACATTTCACTATTAAACAATTTAAATTCCTAACAATTTAATTCCAAGTTTCTAATTAAACACCAAATTGGTACTGTATGAGCTCCTCATCTTAACTCCTATCAAACCAAAACTAATCGTCCAACTAACGCGCGAATAACATTCAAAAACTTGGTTTATTTCGTTTATAATTGCTAAATTGAGTCTTCCTGAATTACTAGAGACTCTTATTGACAGGTTAAAAATTTATTTTCGATTGGATGTTTCACTAAACCAACATGGTTACAAAGAAACCTGCTTGTGTTACTTAATAATAATATGACAAAGTGTTTCTAACAAAAACAAAATTCTGGTAGTCATTTCATGTTGTATTCAAGTTGTACACAATTGCAACCACCTAAAAAAACAAGTTATGATTGAGTCTTCTTTCGAATTCATAGTTATTGCTATAAACAAGCCAATTCTTATAGCGTCGGAAACGAATTTTGTTTCCAGCGAAAATTTGAGTTCACCGAAAACCGGATTTGCTCAAAATATCAATCTCAAAAATGTCGAGCATCTGCCATTAAAGAAAAAAAGATCGATACGCGTAAAGAGGTAGAGAGCACAATCAAAACCTTTCAGCGGGAAATTAGTCATCAAGCTACTAAAAGAGCTCAACGAAAGATTTACACTAACTGTCACAGTTTCCAGTCAGTTTTTGCTTGTAACAAATGATATAGCCACACAATTTGCCATCCCGACAAAATACAAACTGATTCGAACGGCTGCCAGCACACGCAAGCATCAAGCAGCTAGATACAAATATGCCATCAATCTCCTTGGCGCAAAAATTCCATGTTCCTGAAAATTTTGGAAATTGTTTACGGTATGACAGTGAATCAAATAATCACGAGCGAATTATTTTGTTGGGTGACCAATCTACGCCTTCTTCCCTAACAAGAACAAAAAAACATTATCCGTTTTTGCAGGCTTTGTTGGACTTAGCACCAAATTGCCGGCCCGAAAAAAAAAGTTTGAAAAATTTTGAGCAAGCTGCATTTCAGTCATTCCACAAAAAATTCCCCGGAGCGCATTTATAAAAATTGTTTTTCCATCTCTCACAGAGTTACATTTAAAAAATCAATGAACTGGGTCTTAAAGTGACCTACGAAACAAATCACGACTTATCTTTGGCCTTAAAAATGCTGCCCTTCCTTGCATTTGAGAGACAGATAGGCGATTCCTATGATTTGATCGCTCGTTTAAATGAAAGAATTCAAAACATTATGTCTGTTTAAGAAAAAAACTGATGTGTTTTTTTCAGCGCATTATCTAGTTTGTGTTGAGCCAGTGTACATTTTGTCGTGTCTTTGTAGACTCTTCGTATCTTAAAAGTCAAATTTTATTTCTAAATTTTTGCAGCTTTTTTTGAAAAGACGTTTCCTTGCAGAATTCCGTATAATGTAGTTAATGCGAGACCATGACCGGTGCGCTAGCAATTTACTTCCAGGATGCTATGTTGGGACTAGATGCTGGCAAATCCTTCAGGTTTGCGTTTATGTACCAAAAATTCGAAAAAGCTGAACTAAGCGATCTGTCTATAGATTTAAGTTCTAGACTGATTCTAAAATTGATAAGGTAACAAAAAGTAGGTGGAGAAACTGTATGATGTTAAGTTGTTTTGTGTTGAAAAGGTGGGAACTATTCAACTCTGCAGCTTGAAATGTACCGATGAATTGTTGGGCATATTTAATGACTGAATCACTAACTTCTTCTAGCGATCTGCACTCGTGTACTAATTTTGAGGCGATCTGCAGTCTGAGGGTCATGTTCTGAGTGGCAACTTCCAGCACTGACGCTTTCTCCCTTCTGGCATCAATGGGTTCCATTGACCCTACTTGGCGACCGACTCCACTTCCTCCTTCTGCTGTCGCATCTTTCAAAGTGGATTCAACCGATGCCATCAATTTAGCAAACTGTTTCTGAGCATCTTTGGTCTCCGCGGCCTGAAATCTTCATTTTTGAAACTAATCTTTCTGCTACATTTCAACTTCTTATTATCATTATAAGCCCACTATTTCTTCTATTACATTACCACGAATGCTTTGCCTATTAAATTTTATTATTTGACAAAAATTTCACGATTGCTTTGCAGCCAATTTAGGCCAAAAAAAATTGGCCTAGGAAAACATGTCATATAAAAGCCACCTTTCAGAATGAAAAGATGGTTTTAGTATAAGTAAAATATATAGAAAAAAAGGTAATATATGGTAGCTTAGACAAAGAAAATTAAGTCAAAACGTTCTTTTTCAAATCTTTTTTTTTAATTCTACGAAAATAGTATTCCTGACTGAGTCGATGACCATATTTCAAAAAACTTGCTGTAAATCTTTCAAAACAACGCAAATTTTTAAACTGGCATATAATGACCAATTGCTTTTTTTACCCGCATGAGCTTACCTTTCACTTATTACTGCCATAAATTTTTACATCATATCCATTACATTGTTATTCCTCGAAATAATTTACCACTCAAACTATTCCAGTCACTAAGCTTGCAACTTTGATATTCTCTCTGTCGTTCAGAACTACTTCGTTTGTTACGAGTCTAGTCGAAAGAATTGTTATTTTAGGCGAAAATGACATTTATTCGACTATACGAAAATTTAGGCTTTCTGGCTAGCTCACATACAAACACAGGACAAAAAGTGTCAATTTTTCGTTTTCAAGTTGTTTTCTCCTTGTAGTTATTTAACATGTAAGGGTAAAGGTTTGCCATGTTGATGAAACTTTTTAATCAGATCTGGTTGAATAAAAACACAATATTTTGTTTTGGATGCATTCATTAGGCGGTCAATGTTGACTATTTGAAAGATTCAACAAACGCCGGTAAGGGAAAAGTATGGCATCATATTAGAGCCCTATAGATTGCGTCGAAAAAAAATGGCTCAAGTTTTTGGCAACTAAGACTAGTTTTGAGCAACATTGGTCTAAAAATTGATTTTAAAACAAAATACTAAAAACAAAATCGATTTTTAATTTTTTTTTGCAAAAATTTTACGAGTTCGAAACATACTGTGCTTAATGCGCAGCGACCAGCTATCCTTGCTTGTTTGTGATGGGCAAGTTGGAGTAGGATAACTTGGGCTGGGACAAGCTGACTTGGGGCAAAACGACATGTAACCTTAGAACCGAATAAAAAATCCCACCCTCTTTGATAGTTACTTCCTACTCACAGTTTACATTAGCCGCTTTCCAGAGTTAATTGCAGTCAGTTTGCAAAAATAATAGGCCCCGAAATATTAGATGTTTTGAGCATCTTCATGTTTATTTACACACCATTGTTTAGATTGAAGTTTTGAATGTTATAGTAGCCCCCGCGGATGCATAAGATTACACTTTTGTTGGCTTCTACTTTTTCAATGGCCTGAGTGACATAGGTCCCGTTGAGATTTTAATACGTCCGAATCGTCGCAAGCAGTCAATTCTGTTTCTTGACGCCCGACCTAGTAGCTTTTTCAAAACTTTGATTTAATAATTTTGCGCAATATCAAGTGAAAGCCAAGCTCATTAGCTTTCCGCAGAGTTTATAAGTTTAAACTAGTAATGTTCACAAAGTTTTTTCAACTACAGGAACACCTCTCCAACAAGTTCTCGGTGGAAAACGAAGAGTTTTAAATTCTGTGTCCCGTAACTGAAACATCTAAAGCGAGCCCCAATATAATATACCAAAACTATTCAATTCACATGAGCGTCATAGTTGCAAAAAATGGAATAGTTGATTTTAGGACGTAACTGCCAGTGGGCTTCTTCGAGGAAGGTTTATTTATACACTAACGATAAATAGATACAGTTCGGATAAAATGATAAGAGGCGTAAAATTACTGGAGTTAAAATGCAACAGTAAAATGTATGAAAAAAGAGTTATTAAAATCCATCGGTTAAAAGGAGACGAAAACCTAATGGCACATGAACTTTTCATGACATTTGCCAGCATTTTGTTCTAGAATGAGCAAGGAAGTTAGATCTGAATATTCAAACACACTCCCTCAGCAATTCGGCTATCAATCTCAATCAAGCTTCAACCCCACTCACAAGTTTAGCCACCGCATCTAAGTCGGCCTCGTACAGAGGGGCAACGCAGTCGTCTCGCGAGAACTTCCCATTTTCCTCTTCCTCCACTCGAGCAGGTGTAAAGAAGTGACTCATGGCATCATTCTTTCAATCCCACTCTGAAAATGTCTTCATCCGAGAGGTCACTCAGTTGTCCATGTCAGAGGAGTTAGTAAGTTAGTAGATGGTCCGAAGAAAGTTAATAGGAAAGTAAGTATTGAAGAAGTTTTGAGTTAATTAGGTTTATTTTGATTAAATTAGTAAATCGACGTCCGTTTCAATTACAACTAGGCTCAGCTCAATGCTTTGCTTAAATTTTGTATCTTTACTGCCAGAACGGAAAATTTTATCGTATTTCATAAAAAAATATACAAAAAAAACATCATGTCGCAATTAAATAAAAAATTCAATTTTAATAAATAACAACCATTCCCAAAACTTTAAGATGAAACATTATTGTTATGACTTCGAAGAAGGTGAAGTACATTTAAGCTCGAGGTGGTTTTTTTCAGACCAATTTTCAGATCAAAGCTGTGGTCCCCGGGAATCCAACTCATGATCTGTATGGGCCCAGCCGAGTGTGCACACCACAATAGTAACCTGTCACACTTCTGTCTAAACTAATCGTTTCATAAATTACACGCTTGGCGAGATATCCCGCACTACAAAATCAATCCAATTTGAATTGAGGCAGCGAAATGTTTTTATTAATTCCATATGCGACTCAAATTGCAACCGTTTAATTTTAATGAGTTCAGCCTAAAGTTCATAGTTTCGCCAATTCTTAATTGAACAAAAACTATTCGAGAACAATTAAATGGCGGTCGGAACATTCAGGGCTTTGTCTTGATACGAACAGTCTTGTTTTGCTCTTAAGATATTCCGTTTTGAAATTACGAGGAGAGGTAGCCTTAATTTTCAAGCTATTCTTTCGATTGTGTGTAAAACATTCATTTATTCAATTCAAGCAAAATATGGCACCATACCTACTTAATTTGATGGGAACATTTGTTCTCGGAACATTTTCATTTTTCTTCAAGTTCTGGAAAAAAATATATTTTTGCCAGCTTTGATTTCCTTCCAGACAGAACCAAACAGAATTTTTGTACTACATTGATGACATCGATGTTCTGACTTTAAAATCAAACAAGAGTACTGGTATCAGGGGGAAGCCCTGAATGTTCCGACTACTTTTTAAAGTGTATAGAGCAATAATTGGTTTGAAAATGATGAAATTTGACAACAAGTAGTAATTGACCAAAAGCATGCCTCAATTCAATTTGGAACGACTCTCAAGGCGGATTAAATATCCGCTTATGCATTCATAGCCTAAAATACGCTTCTCATCTTTTTGGGCTATATAAGAGGCTTGCAGTGATATAGTTTTATCAGTAAAGGAACATATAGCTTTTGAGTAATTTTTTATTGACTAAACAAAGCCGAACAAATCGTTTTTGGGGTGAATTTTTGGGTCCGAATTTCGCAAATTAAATTGCATCATTAATTCTGTTAAAATTCTAAACAAAATTGGTCTTCATCACTTCTGTCTAAAATCAACCCGATTTGAGACAAACGCGTTGTAATATTCAAGTTTTACTCATTTTGTCCAGATAATTGAAATCAGCGCTCTATTTGTCTAAGATTAAATTCAATTAAAGCTTGTTTTTCAAAAAAAAAATAAGAAGATAAAGCTCCGTTCAATACTTTCTTGCAATTAAAAGGAAATAATGAACACGCGAAAACAACAACAAAAATTGAGCAAAATTTTCAAATAGATTGTTCCCAGAAAACTTTTGCCAGCGCAATTGAAAATGCACCAGCAGATCCACAGCAACTAAGACCTCATTTGAACATTGAACTAACATACACTAGTTGTATTAAAATGGGTTAACAAGCTCACCTATTTTTGCCAACGCTAATATTCCAGATAACACATGGTTTAAAGTGTAGCATTAGGAATGTATTTTCTAAAAACTCAAAAGCGAAAAAAATAACACATGGTTTAGAGTGTAACATTAGGAATGTATTTTCTAAAAACTCAAAAGCGAAAAAATATGTAAATTCTACTCTGAATTCCTCAAAAAAATCATCATCATGGATATGAATATTTTGAACTTCATAATGCAATCTTCAACTGCAATTTCAAACTTTCAATTCCAACTCGCAACAGTACCCAGGGGTGCAGACTAAAACGTTTCTTAAGGAATTTTGCAGATTTCAAGGAAATGTTATGAGAACACGCACATCGGAAAAACAGAAACCTGGAAAACCTCATATTTTGAGTGTCGAAAAACGCAGCTGCTAGAACGTTTGACTGACGACTTAGCATCGATTGGAATCTCGAGGAAAAAGGTTAAAAGCTTAAATATCAGCCTTGGATCTCGACGCTAATGAGATAATTAAATCATTTACCGCCAAGAGTTTGTATGCAAGTATGCATATCGAATCCTCGATATTGATGGCGGCTGATCTTGGGTATGAGAATGAAAACGTCCCGAACTTTGCGAACCACATATTCGTCGCAATGATGAAGATGAGATGACCCTGCATACTATTTGTTTTATTTGTGACGGTGTCTGGTATACGCAACCGCGACGGGTTCGTAATGGGTTGCAAGACCCTTATGTATCAATGTATCTTGCCCTTACTTGAGCCGAGCTTGTCAGGATGTGAATCACGCATTTCCAGGAATCTCAAGAGAGAGTAGAGGTGTTGATAGTTACGTAGGACCCCTGTCAAGTGTGGTACGAGAGCCTGACGTGGCTCCATCCAGTGCAGTTATGTGCTTTCTGATACCATCAACGACTTTCAACCACTGAACCGTGAGAACACTGGCATGTTGACATCTATTTCATCCCCGCCGGCGAGATATGTCGATGAAATCATCAGGAGTGCCAAATGATCAAAGATTGATGGTTTGTTCAGGAAAGATTATGACCTGGATCCATCCAGGTCATCTCCAGTTCACCAGAGCAGGACGTGGTTCTAACTTTTCGAAACATCAAGGTTCTGCGTAGCGGTTCGTCAATTCATAATCCAGCTTGAAAACAACCAGTATCAACCGAACTTTTATAAGCTCATAATAAAGGGTCGCATTGAGAAAGATCATTCAAGATCGATCGGTTACACCTTCTGCACGCACAAAGAAAAAATTGAAGGAATACACTCGGCCAAAATACCACTGTAAGGTTGAGGAAGAATCTCTGAACAGTGGAGCAAGCTTACCGGTGAATTCTGAGCTTATAGAAACGAAGCTTTGGGGTGTTTGGCATCGCTGAAGTCCGCTGTGGCTGTCCCGTCGTGTATCAGCTCCAATGTTTGGATTGTAAGGCCTCTGCCATGTTGGCCAGATACTCATTTTATACCATTTGCGATGCAACACAAGCATAGCATGACAAACTAGCAGACAAAAATTGAGACGAAAACCACTAAGTCAAAAAAAGTTTTGGAAAAAGACAAGAAAAGCCAGATGAGCCAAAATTTTCATATTTTCATTATCAAGCCGAGTAAACAAAAAAACAGGAAAAAGCAGAAAAGCTAAATTAAACTGAAACATTTTTCAAAAAAAAAATAAAATAAAAATTTCGCAAAAAACACGTAACTCAATTACCTCTACCAATGGGGCTTTAGAAATGGCATTCAAGAGCTACGGGAGCTAAGCCGACAAATATAAACAGAGGGACAATAGTCCGAAAAAGCATAAAATTTCAAGTTTGAAAAAATTTATCCGTCCGGCCGGATTGGAATCACAGGCATTTGTCGTCTCAAGCAGTTGTATTACCTCCAAGCCAGATTCGCTGGGTAGTTCATTATTTTATAATTTTTTATGAAGAAAGATGAAATATCTGCGAATTCTCGTGAACAAAGTTGTTTACAGGAAAAAAAAAAGTATAGTACCCGGTTGCAACACCCTTGCTTATTGCAAGCGTTAACACAAATGCCCGACTATCTAATGCCATCGGCACCAGTAGCCAAAAATCTTCTGAATTATGGTACAACACACGCTTAAGAAACTTCCATTTTAGACAAATCAATGACCTGGCACTACTAGAAACTCTGGAACCGCTTTACATAAAGAAACTAAAATTTTCACACGATACGAAGGAAGCAAAAAAGGCGCTCCTCACAATCAAGCTTAGAAACATCGTTTTTCTGATTAAGTAGACCTTTACTCTACTTAAGAATGTTTTTGTTCCGACCACTGAAAATGGGGAGGCACTTTATTCGGGTGTGTTATAGTTTTTTTTCCACGCAAAATCAGCTACCACAAATAATCATCAGACAGGGTTGAGTGATATATCATATTAAAGCCTTTGCAGTCGTGATTCGAACCACTGTAGAAAAATTCGAGCGAATGAAGCAAGCGAGCAGTCATATATCATATTAAAGCCCTTTCATTCAATAAATACCGGTTTGAAAATTTTGATTTTTCTTCCAATTTCGAGCAAGTGAGCAGGCTTACATCAGCCTATTCATGCTTAATTTAAGTTTTGAAAAGATGATGTTAGTTTTTGGAGTCTTTAGCTTCATCTTAAGAATCAAAAACTTACTATAAAAAAAAAACTTTTTTGTTTTTCATGTTATTTGTCTTCAAAAATTGCTTTCCGATTTGCATATTTTACATGACTGATTAAAATGCCTAAGCTTTACTTGTTCTCTAAGATTTCTTTATCACACCAAGCCGAAAAAAAACGACTCTAATTGGAAAAATACTTTTGTTGTAATTTTTAAGACTGGTCGGAACACTCTGTGCTACTTGCTGTTTTTTTTTTGCTTTTTGTTTTCCAAGCATAATCAGCTATCACAAATTATCATTGGACTGGGTTGAATCATATATCATATTGAAGCCCTTTCAGTCGTGATTCGAACAACATCAAAACATTTTCCCAGTGTCGAGAAAAACCGGTTTGAATTTTTTTTATTTTTGGTCTAACTTCGAACTAATATGGCGTGAACGTGTAAGCTCACAGGCTGAACTATGCCTAATTTAAGACTTTAACACTTGATTTTAAGCATGTAAAACTAGTTTTTGGAGTTTTTTAGCTTCATTTTGGGAACCAAAAATTTTTTAAAAAAATTTTAAATTTTTTGTTTTTCTAGTCATTTTTCTACAATTTTTTTTGTCAAATTTTCATATATTACTGAGACTGTATACTATGTCTAAATTATATTTTATGTCAGATCCTTTTATCACACCAAGCTGAAAAAACTACTAATTTGGAAAAAAAAACTTTCTAAACCGTAGTTTTGTAAAGACTGTCTATGGTCGGAACATTCTGTGCTACTTGCACAGTAACCGGCTATCCTTGTTTTGTTTTGGTGATGATGCTTCCAACATTTGTGCATGCAGCGCTTATGATGTTGATGATGAGTGGGAGCTCGAAAATCCTTGAATTATGAAAACACTTCAAATACGCCATAAAAAGTATCTTAAAAATCGTATTACTTTGCGAAAGAAAAAAAAACCTGTGACTATTGGTTTAAACATTAATTGAGTGTAAGCACCCAAATTTTTTTCCAAATACTGATTTTTTTTCATTATTTTAAATTTGGACAATCCTTTTGACAAAATTTACAGTATAAGTTTTGAAATGAAACTAGATTCATTTACATATATTACATCAAATTACAGTTCAAAATTGACCTTGTGTACGGCAATGAATGGTTCACTGGCCGCTTCGAATCTCAATTGCACAAACTTGACTGAATTGCCCTTTTCTAATTTGACCTCAATTCTGCTTTCTGCTCCTGCTTTCCGTGAAGAGCTCTGATAGGAGCCTAACTTAATGAATTTACTGAAATCCGGATCTACAGAACCGTGCACAGATAGCTGCTTGACTCCATCGGATTCAATTAGCATAGACTTCACACAAGTAGCATCAGGTAATTGGAAAAGAAGCGTTTGAGGAAACATGCCAGTGGATAGCCAGAATGTTTCGGGCGCCCCATCTAGCGTAGACTCTGGAGGATGGTCCGGGCAGCTAGAAGATGCCAGCACAACTTCTGCATTATTGGACCAGCGTACCATTTCCTATCTGAAGCTTTATCCACTTGTCACTACAAAATGAAAGATAGCTCTAAACTTTATTATTATTTTTTGGTTAAGCAGCCGAAGGCCTAGTCCAAAGATTAATTTTTAAACTAAACCAGTAGCTGATTTAGGGGGAAGGGACGGACGCCCCCACCCCCACCTCAGGGATTCGACCCCCTGCAGACCCAAAGGGTCCTCCTTTGTATTATTTTGAGTTATCAACTTTTGGCTGACTAACCCTAAAACTTTATTAAAGGCGACTTCAATGGGGAAGCGCGCGCCCAAAAAGATGCCTAAAAATCCTCAACGCAAAGTCGACATTTTGCCTGCGGCGCATAAATCTTGTCCAAAATAGGAGTTTAATTTAGGAGAGCTCATAACATCAATTTAGTCGACCTAAAAAAAGATCGACAAAAATTTCGAATTTTCGACATATGTTTGAAAATTTGCCCCCCTCTCGAGAAAATCCTTGATCCGCCCTTGAATTAAACTATATAAACTTATGAGAGTTGCTCATGCAAATTACACAGCACGTTTAATTTCGATTAAGCGGTCAGCATCATAAAAATGATAGTCAAAAATCCGGAATATTTCACTTTTTGCAAAAACTTCTCAATATTCCAAGAGTACGCAAATCCAGTCATTCTCTAACACCTTTATGATTCCTAAGAGCTGAATTGACAATCTCAAACCATCGTACAGATTCAGTTGTGAAAAACGGGAAAAACGGAAAATTTTTCACATTATTGCAATTATATATAATCACAATTTGAACCAGGATAGCCGGTTACTGTGCAAGTTGCACAGACAGTTCTCATCACAATAAAACTAAGAAACAAAAAAAAAGGTTTTCTTTTTTCAAATTGAGTCTTTTTTCATCAGATGATGGGATTTGAACAAAAATTTAGAACAAAAAGTCTTGCCTCGGCTCTGATCATCAGGCAATCGTGCTAACACTAACTTGTGATGTCGTCTTTGTTGAACCATCAAAAAAACTTTCATTAACTTTAGACAAGCAGATTGAAAACGATTTCGTGAATTTACTGATTTACCTTTTGGCAAATGCAGATCACCCAAAACAGTGCCTGAAGGTGAAGCTAATTCACCAAATTTTTTATAAAGGCAGCCAAATTCAGACCAGACTTTCTAAAACAAGCTGTAGAGCTTTTCAAGTCTAGTGACGAACTTCAATCAATCTTGATGATCCTAAAATTTCTCAGTTGAACAAAGAAAGAAATCGATGCCATTGTAAATAGACACAAACGCGATAAATGGATTGAATTCGGTACATTCTCAATACAAACATTAGAGCCGGTTCAAGACGCAAAGCTGCGAAGCGCGCCTACCGGCGACCTTAAATCGAGGTAGCCAGCTTAGTAAACTTTGACCAATTGAACAGCTTTTGGTACTGAAGCGAATGATTTTTTTTTGCACAAACTGCTCTGATTTTTCATTTTGGTATTGTGAATAGCCACGCTGAGTTATTTATACAACATATTGGATCTATCTCGATCTGAAAACCTTATGCATAACAATAGGAGTGTTCTCTTATCAGAGAACCTGAATTCAGATGTACTGGTGTCCCCGTTACTACCAATGTATCCATCATTCCGATTTGTTGAAATTATAGCCAATTTAATTTGTAATCGTTTAATAACGGGAAAATTGAAGAAATCGCGTTTGATTAAAACTATAAATATTCTATAGGCCGCTTTCGGCCATGATTCGGCAACTAAACAGCCGTGCATTGGCTGTCGTGCCTTGCAACTAACTTGATAATGGTCCCTTGCCCTGACTCTACTTTTGTCCGATTGAATTTTTTGAAATCTAACGCAACTGATTATTTTTTTTGTTAGAAATAGTAATTTTTTCATTCCCATACTAACTTCATTAACTTGATTTTTTTTTTTTTATTTTGTTTAAGATAAGATTTTTTTGAAGACATATTATTTATAATTTTATTATTTTTTCTTCAGAAAAATTAATTTTCACTTTTTTATTTGAAATTTAACTCACCAAGTGTATGATAGGTGCTTTTAAATGAATGAAAAAATGATTTAGACTATGGTGAAAAAAAACTTGAAAATTAGCTTTAGAAATATGTAGACCTGGACGAAAAATTGAATTAAGGTCGAGTGAAAGACAGCTTGAAAATTTAGTTTGAAATAATGAAAAAAAAAAGATATCCATTTGAGGTGCTTTCGGGAGAAGAGGTGAAGTCTCATTTGTATCAACGGTAACTTGAACCATAAAAACAGTCGCGTTTGCAGCAAAACAAAAAAACGTTGATAGGCCACATATATCTAGCTGATAGGTAACATGTATGCTCTAGTAACGATTGTTGGGGTAGCGAATCTTCGGATGGTCCGATATTTGTAAGCTCAAATTACTTAAGAATGATACAATATTCTAGAAAAAAAAGTTTTCATAAGAATGACATATTATAATTGGACAAAATGATACACGATTGACATTGATGGGAAATTACGTAAACAACTTAGCACGAACATGGGGGATGTTAAATGAACTAATTCAAGCACTCAAAAACTCAATGAATCTTTGCAACCGCGAAAACAAACATTATTGGTATGCAGTGGTGGATTTGTGCGAAGTATGTGAAATGAATCAACTAATTGTTAAACTTTTCGTTATTGTTCTGACTTTTGAAGAAAACGAAATATTTTGCTTGGTGTGGTTTTTTTATTCAGTCAATTTTCGGCTATCGAAATCATAGTTTCTAACAAAAAATTTTATCGCCCATTTAAGATATCGACTTTCTGAAACCAAAGTTTAAACGATAATTTACCTCCGATCCGTTTTTGCAAAGTTTTGGGTGTTTGAAAATTGCCAATTTGGCCGTGCTTTGAACTAATTTATGCGCACTTTGAACATTTTATCCATGATTCTGACAGCGTAACGCAAATCATTTATGCGTTGCGATTTATCCCGCACAACAAAATTATTCCAAATTGAATTACGGCTAGCTAATTGGTCGTATTAATTTCGTACGACTCAAATTTTCACAATTGATCTTTGATATTGTAGGTAATTGGAAGTGTTTTAGAGGAAAACTCAAGGTTAAAACTTGAACTTATTTGAGAATTTATAAGATGTCTGAGAACTGAGATTGTTAATTAACGATAGACACTAAGACAAGCGACTTGTCAGGTGGTAGACATTCGTCGTAGACAATTGTCAAGATTATAGGACAAGCGTATAGAAACTAGGCTGAGACGATCCATAATCTTGCTCAGCTAATAACGGGGAAACCACTCTAGTACGACGCGGGTATCACAGCGAGTGTCCAGGCAACTGCTACGTTGGAAGTGAACAAATTCAAATTTCAATATTTTAATTACTTCACTTTATCATACAAATTGAAGCAGTCACAGTTATTTACAGAAATTCGATTTGAATTATAAAAAATTTAAGATAAGATTTGGTTATCATTGAGTGGTCGCCAACTGGTTTCGGGAGATTCGATTTTTTTAACTGATTATACCGGAATTCTCCGTTTTCCTCTTTAACATCGCTAAAATTTCCTGAGCAAGATTATGGATCTTCTCAGCTTCGTTTCTATATGCTTGTCATATAATCTTGACAATTGTATACCACGAATTTCTACCACCTGACAAGTCGCTTGTCTTAGTGTCGTTATCGTTAATTAACGATATCAGTTCTCAGACATCATAAATTCTCAAATAAATTCAAAATTTAGTTTTCCAACATTTTTATTCCCCAAAAGATTCTTCGATATGGATTATGGGGCAGTCAGAATATTCAGGGTTTTGCCTTGATATAAGACCAGTCTATTTTATATTTAGGATTGACTATTTTTAATTTACATAATCAAAACTGCATATTATTGGGGACTGATAATTCATTTAAGTAGAAAAACAATTGTTTTTTAAAGTTGGTTCAAATGGAATTGTTTTTGTTCTTTGATACTCCTGAATACCATAGATCTTTTTGCCTCCTTTCAGGAGGGAGTGCGGCCTGTAGGTGATTTCCCATAGGTTCCATAGCTCTCAAAATAAAAAATCAGTCGCATAAGTCACAAAATTTATCTTCTTGAATTCTGATTGGTTGAGTTTTGAGCTAACGAACTTATGGATTCATTGTTTACTGTTCACTCAAGCTTCAGAATAGTGATCGCCGCAGCCGCGCCAACAAGTTGCGAGCTTGACACCAAAGGGTTGGACTCTATACAAAATTTAGAGCCGGTTATCGCCGCGAAACGGCGACGCGCGCCCACAGGCGACCTTAAACCGAGACTCAGCGAATTTAGTCTTTTGAACAATTCTTTCTTCTTTTTTTGAAAAGATTTGGGGCTTAAGCGATTGAAAAGATTTGGGACTTATGCGACTGCTTTTTTGTTTTGGGACTTATGGGACTGATTTTTCAGTTTGGGACCTATGAATACGTACCCGGCCTTTTTTTGAACAAAGACGTATTCATACTCGTCAATAAGCAGACAAAAACTATATTAACTGTAAATCCTCAACAATAACAACAACTACAATAACCAATCAGAATCGAGATGAAAAAAGCACGCTTAAAAAATAAATTTAGTTGTCTAAATAGAGGTTTTTTAATAGTTCCTTCCTTGTTGGTTCTGGTTGGTTAATATAGAGTTTTTCTGGCTACTAGCGGGTTAAAACTTTACAAGCACCTCAAAACACTATGTTATCATCTGTAAAACGTTATTTTTCAAAAATTTTGGCAAGTTTAGTCCATAATAAACGTTATTCATGACGATGCACTACTTGTGATTGGCATCCGTTAATAACATCAGCCGGTTTTTGAAATGCATAATTTATAAACATGAAAAATGCCTTCAACCATGTTTTACTTTTCAACTTTCCGAAACATCATTTGGAGGCTTAAATTTTATGAAAACGCCAATAACTTGTGAAGAAAGATCATGAAATTCAGAAATTCTTCAAAAAAAGTTTTCAAATTAATCATATTTTACGAGTTTATAAAGAACTATTTGGCTTCAAGTCCCTAATTTTACGATTCGGCTTGAAGTCCCGTCGACTTGATGTCCGGCACCCATGAATACGCGGTTGTCTAATTACTGCTTTGCTTTCCGTTGTCTTATTTTTTCGGGAGAAGTGCTTTTGATAGATGCTCTTCTTCGCCTCTTCAGAGAAGCTTTGGAGAGAGAGAAAGAGAGAGAGAGAGAGATATTGAATTACAACTTGACTAGACAGTACTATCTATACAACAAAAGCATTGAATAGACATTTAGAGCAAACATAGTATGAGAATCTTTTGATTTAAATTAAAAGACATGACTACAGAAGGCCACAAAACTAACACGTCGAAATTTTTTTTAGCACTTGACAAATCCAGTATTAAATATATGAAATCGAGATTTTATTTAATCAGCTCACAAAAAAAAAAACATGTATAATGTTGTAGTTATTTTAAAAGAAGCTGCTTTATTTTAATAAAATTGAAAAAAAATTCGATTTGACTGTTGATTCAAACAACAGATCAAATGATGACCGTAAATCTGTTTTTGAAAATCGTTTCACAGTAGAACGAAACAGGTTAGTCCAATTCATTTACTTTTTTCTCAAAACCAACGGTAGTATAACTCAATTTACTCCATGGTATTGTAAAAATCTGCATGACCGTAAAGACACGTAACAACATAAGTTTTTTTTCGGTTCAAATTATTAGATATTTGAAGGTGCTTCTTGATAACATCAATCTGTAAACTTAAATAAGCAAATTTTGTGAACAATCAATTATGGGAGACAAGGATGATATTGAGATTCCTGTGTATACGCCATTTTTCGGAGTGATGGGTGCTACCTCAGCAATGGTTTTTAGTGGTTAGTACTTTTCTTGGTAAAAACAAATCATTTCGTCCTAACCAAAGAAAAATGAAAATGCATATACTGCTCCGAAAATTCTCAACCGAAACACAGTAAGGAAACCGAAGCAGAGATCAATTAGCATTTATCTGTTTTAGCTTTCGGAGCTGCTTACGGTACTGCAAAATCGGGAACAGGAATTGCTGCCATGAGTGTTATGCGACCTGATCTCATCATGAAATCCATTATCCCTGTTGTCATGGCGGGTATCATAGCTATATATGGTCTGGTTGTAGCTGTGATAATTTCTCAGGGATTGGAATCCACTGGTTATACTATGTTCAGGTAGATGCTTGATTTGTAAATGAAACAGTGGTACTATGATAGAGTGGTCCCTTGAAAATAACCAGGTCCCTTGAGAATAAGACACCTAGAGCTCTCAAATCGTTTAATAATTGTAATTGAGCCCTTCAGCAAGATGTCGCAGTATATTTTCATAAATTTTATGTTTTGTTTTCTCGTAAACCCTCACCATTTAAAAGTTGAAAATCTAAAAAAAACGCCAATAGTGGGTTTTGATGACAAATAAGTCAACCCAATTATATGGTTGTTAAACCGTAAAATAAAGTGAAGCGAGCAAATTTCATTATATAAACAATAGTGATTACAATTTTCAATCTGAGAAGTTTTTGGCTGAACATATTTTGCAAAATTTTTGAAATGAATAATTTACAAAACCAAAAAGTTTTGAAAATTATAACATGCAAAATGCATGCGGGAGTTGCTTTTTCGAGGGACCACTCTATCATAGTAGTACAGAAACAGTAATCAAATTAAGAGTTGAGGACGGAGAACAAGTATATATACTTGAGAAAGAACGCATGTAGCTACAAATAGCGCAAATTCAGGATTTTCTCTCAATAATAGTTTGAAAGATTTAGGACCACATGTACGGGGGAGTTCTAACTAAATCTGTTAATGGACTGATTGCAAATGATCAGCTGGAATCTAAATTTATCGATAATTGGTTTTAGAGACGGCCAGTTCACAATCTGCACTAATGTAGCGTTCACAATCTGCACTAAGTTATTCTAAACGCACGAAAATGTTTAAAAAAACAGCTGGGTACTCGTATAGAAGTATAGTCCCATTAAAAACCTCGTTTTGAAATATGGGCTAGTGAACCTGACTGTAGTATTAGGGGTGTCTAGGACAACAGGCCGCCCGGACTTCAAGCCGAATCAACTTCAGGTTTTTGAAATGCATACATTATAAACATGAAAAAAACGCCTTCAATCGTGTCTTTCAACTTTCCTAAACATCAGTTGGAGGCTTTAAATCTATGAAAACGCCAATATCTAATGAAAATGAAATTCAGAAAATCTTCAATAAAATTTTCAAATTAATCGTATTTCACAGCTTTATAAGAAAATATTCGGCTTGAAGTCGCGCAGTCACATGCAAGCTTCAATGTACATTTGTTTCTTTCGTCATAAAGCTTTAACTTCTTCAAGAACAGCTTGAGTAGGGCACCTTTCAAACCTGTCCAGTGTCCTAAATCAATCCTAAGAGCATGCAAGACGACATGTTTGATATATGAATTTGTTTGCATTTGTATTTTATAGAGAGTTGCAAAAAGTTCGGACAGACAGAAATAATTAAAAAGAGCAATCTGCCAATTTTGAGCAGTTTTTGCATGCAAATTTGAATTTTTAGGTGACATTAAGATATCTTTTCTGTCTGAAAAATTAACTTTTGCATGCAAACTTTGTCTGAAATAGGCCATTTGCTCTTTAATTATTTTTGTCTGTCCGAACTTTTTGCTACTAATTATAGTGCATCGGCAAAGGGGCAGAATTTGTAGCTGTCTTAGTTTTTCGGGTCTTTCCAATTTTAGCCCCCCCCCCCCACCTAGTATCAAAAAAAGTTATAGCAACCACAAGACCTTTCCTATTATAGACCCCCAACCTTTCCTAGTGTAACTAAAAAAATTAAATAGAGTGGCATAAAGTTTCAAGAGGAGTAGTTACTAAAATTACTCGTCCTATTTACAAAAGTTTTTTTGATGCAAAATAGGAAATGAAACGCTAAACACTTCCTTTCGATAAACTCCATTTTGATTTAGTGCTATAAGTGTCATTTTCAGTTTTTGTGATTTTGAGTTTAAAAACTGACATTAGAATGTCTGACTGAGTACCGAAAGCAAAATGAAAATTTTACGTACTCACTGTTAGATTGTGTTTTTAGAACTTGGGCACTTCATTTCAACTAAGTTTTCAATGCAAAGCACACATAATCAAACAGTTTCATTTTTGGTCAAAGCTGATGTTATCACATGGAGTGCAGCCAGTATTTAGACAGCCGCGTATTCATACTGGTCAGTATTTAGACAAATACTGTATGAACCAATCAGAATCGAGAAAAAACATAAATAATCCAAAATAAATAATAATTATTTATTAATTTCTTCTTTGTCTCGATTCTGATTGGTTGAAACAGTATTTGTCTAAATACTGACCAGTATGAATACGCGGCTGTCTAAATACTGACATGTAACCTTATCACATACACACTGAAAAGATATAATGGTTTAAGTGTTTCTTCAGGGAAATTAAGAAAGTTGTTAGGTTGCGTTACATTCTCCAGTATAGGTACTCGTTTACTACTATGGTCCCGCAGTTTTCGATGAAAGCCATTCAAAAACTTGTTTAGAAGCTTGTTCACGGCAGAACACTTGAAATATTCTTAAACTACTTCAAGTTGATGAACAGATGGAAAACTTTGAAACGTTTCTGCGTAATTTACCACTATCGTTTTCTGTAGAATTGAGTTATCAAAAAGATCATTTCACTGGCGAAACTTAGAAACTACTCATAAAAAGTTTTGTCTGACTTTTATATGGGACCATACTTCTAAACGTAAACGAGGGTTTAAGCGGGACCAAACTTCTAAACGAGTACCGCAGCATATGCGGTAGAAAAGAAGTCCCGCAATAGAGATGGAAAATGAGAAATTTTGAAAACCTATGTTAGTTTTCGCTCGTAGGTCGTGATGTTACTACAGTAGTGTATGAAATTATGCGCAATTTCAGTTTTTTTTTAACTTAGAAATGCCTCCTGTTTTCCAGGATGATTTTGGACAACTTTCACTGGGAATTGAAAAAAAATTAACATAGAAGAGGTAATGATAATTTCAGGCATTACCAGTGTTTTGGGTTTAACCCGTTTTGACTATGTGCACTAAGATTTTAAAACGCTTTGAAAGTGTGAGAAACAGCCGAGTTTAAAATTTTCACACGGAATATTTCAAATTTCTCGAAAGTGTTTCACGTCTCATGAACAACTTTTTTACTGCGGGTATTCGAGAAATAGTTCACTACGATGCAAAACTTGCTGCAGATAAATAAATCTGGATTTTTTAGACCCACAATTACATTGGTAAGTCTTTGAAACCAAATAATGATAGCTTCATAGAGGTTAGCTTATTTTAATTGCTCTTGGTCTGTAAAAATTTTGCTGAAAATTAACCAAAATCGACATTAAAAATAGATATTTAGAGTAAGAAGCTGAATTTGCGCTTATTTTTGTCCACTAGTGTAATTCAGATAGTTTCATATACAAGTAGAAATTGTCAAAAAAAGTAGAATGAATAAGTTGAGGTAATTGTCCCAGATCACTCGCTGTCAGTTAAAAATTTATCATGAACGTATTGAAGTTGTGTATAGGTACTGATGATTTTCTTTTAGAAACAATCTAAAATTTCATGCTCAAATTATTTTTCGCGGCTTGACTTTCGATTGCTTTAGTTTCAATTCATTTGCATTGTTAAAAGGAAGGCAAACACCACTATCGAACAGCAAAAGTGACGAAAACGTATTCCGGTGTGTTGTAGTTTTTTGTTTCCCATGTAAAATTAGGTACCACAAATAATCATCGGAACGGGTCGAGAAAGATCAGATTAAAGCCCTTTCAGTTGTGATTCGAAAAACATCAGTGCCGAGAAAAACTGGTTTGAATTTTTTTATTTTTGGTCTAATTTCAATCTTATATGGTGAGCACCAGCGGACTTAGGGTGGCGGAGGGGCGTAGGAACATTCTGTGCTCTTTGCACAGTAACCGGCTATTCTTAAGTTAGGTGTATACTAAGTAACGTTATGTGTTCCAGTAGTTTCATACACTTGGGTGCTGGACTTAGCGTGGGACTATCTGGCTTGGCTGCCGGATTTGCAATTGGAATCGTTGGTGATGCTGGAGTCCGCGGAACAGCGCAGCAACCAAAGTACGAATTGCCTCAAACTGTTTCGTTGAGATAATAGCCCTAATTTTGACCCTTCGCCAGAGGATAGTCACTTTTTTCGGATTCTACAGCATACTGAAATTGGTGACTTAAATAGCTAAGCTAAGCTAGTTAGCATGTGAAAACAAAAAGTTTTCAGCTTAATTGTATGGTCGAATTTGGACATTGATATTGATATTCGTGCCTGAGACTTAGCATTTTTTATTTGTTTAGACTCTATGTTGGAATGATCCTGATTTTGATCTTCGCAGAGGTCCTTGGTCTGTATGGATTGATTATTGCTTTGATCATGTCCGGAAAGGCATAAACAACGACGAACGCATTAATTTATGAATCAATCAAATCGGCAATTTGGAACTGTAATGTAGAGGACATGAATTTTCTATTATGTGTACACTGCCCGTTGTCTCTTTAAGGAATAAATAAAAACAAGTGAAGATTTCGCCAGAGACAGCTGAGTAGTCAAGTATAGTACTTTTGCTTAATTGTACCGATGTTGAGCCAAATTAAGTAGAAATAGTTTATACTATGAATTTGACGTTTTTAATGTATATTTGCTTGATGCATTGTATATATCTCGAATGATACGAAAGAAATTAATCTATTTATCGGATCTGTCGTCATCGTCCATTCTGAAGGGAGTTAATGAAAATATATACAATGTGTTCTGATTGGAAAAAAACAGCTTATTTAAAGTGAATTTATTATTTACTTCGAAAGTACAAGATTTTCAACTATTTGCTACCCGCGTCGAGAATGATAGCTTTTCAAAATGAGGTGCAAATAGCTCCCTCCCTAAAAATAAAGTTTCTGCATAACATGCAATACATTGACATTGAGAAAATAAAACCCCGCTTTTATATAGCATCTTCGTGTAGTGTTAATGAACGGGGGCTATTCTCATGCGCGAAGGACCGAATGGGCGAAAAAACTTGTAGGCCAAGGACCGAAAACAAAATTAGCCGAAAGTCAGTTTTTGAACAAACAATTACTATTCAGTTAAAATGAATTAAATGAAGCATTATTTTGCTAATTTCTTTACGAAACCCTTGAAATGAGAAATTTGTCCCACTTTTGCGGCGGTCAATGAAAAATTTGAGGATTTTGCATTATTCTGCCGATTTTAGATTCGGCCAATATCAATACTCGAGTCCCTGGAAGTTCTTACTTTCTTTCCAAATTTAAGATTGCTGAAATCTGAATGGCTGATTTGTATTTTGGCGCATTCGGTCCTTCGCGTATGAGGGATTCCACATGTGAATATCTTTTGAAAAATCGTTTTTAATTTTTCATCAAAAAGATGTTCACAAAACCAAATGATTGAGAGTAATGAACGTAGTGAAGACTTTATATACTGGAGAATAAAAGTAACGCAAGCAAACAGTTTCAATACTCAACAATTCCTTAAGAAACCTGGTGATCATAAAATCGTTTCATTCCTTCTGTGAACACAAAACCTTGAAAAACTGCCTGCATCATGAACTGACAGAAAAAAAAAATTGAAATCTGATTGACAGTAACCCACTTACACCAAAAGATTCAAATTCATAGAATTCGACGTGTAGAATGTAACAGCAGTAACCATTTTTATTGTCTTTTCTCATGTTTTGTTTCGAGAATCTCTAGTTGAGTTACTTTTTTTTCCAGTACAGTTCGTGCTGATTTTAATTTTTCAGCTAGAGGATCTAATTACTACATATGTGCATTCATACATATTGATGCATATATAAATCGGCTTAAGTAGATATGCAATTTTTGAGTTCAATTGAACTTCTATTTTTTCGAATTCGAAGCAGATTTTTCATGAATGTCCGTGTTTTTTTTTTAATGCTAACTTGTGTTCAATACTTTTTTCCAATCTTCGTTTGGCTAGGTTTTTTAAGTGCAAGAAAAAAGTAAATCTCATTTAAAATTCTCATTTGCCAATCCCTCTGCAGACATATTTTGAGCACGATTTCACTATTTTTCTTTTCTTGTGTTAAGTTGGAAAAAAGAAGGTGTGTACTAATATACAACGCTCGCAAGCGCGCTAGTATAAATACAAGTAATTTTTATACTGAAGCGCTTGTGGTTAGTACAAACCTCCTTTTTCCGTTTTATCTCGCTAATAAAAGTTTCCACTTAATAAGTGACAATTTTGCTACAATCATGATCTGCAGCATAAAAAATTCCATAGCATCTGTATGCTTTATTTGTGGCAAGTGTTTATTCGTTATTAAGCGTCCGTGGCTGAGTGGTTAATGCGTGAGACGATATCTCTAAGCTGTAAACCGAACCTCAGACGTAACGAAAATTTCATGAATTCGAGCCTTATTTCTACTTTTTATATTGCACTTTTTTGAGCTGCTATTTGAGAAAAATGAACGTAGTGAAGACTTTAGCAGGTCTTGGTGATTTTTTTTTCAGGATAAATCTTAAAATGCTCCAACAACTACAGATGTGCATTCATACATATTTTTGCATTTATGATTGCGCTTACGTATTAATGAACTTATTGAGTTCTTTTAAAATTCATCTGTTGAAAATACTAGTAGTTTTCTCCAAATACGAACGTGGAATTTGCGCGAAAAAAGACGATAAAATTCTGGGTTTGAAAGTGGAACTTATTTAGATTACTAGCGTAATGAAAACTTCATCTATTGGTCCAGTTTTTTCTTGTTGGATTCATGTTATCAAAAAAGCGCCAGCAGAATTTGTTCCAGAAATTCAAAGAACTTGAAAAGCATCTATTTTTTTCTTAGAAAGCGACATTTGAGATTTTCAAGAAAGTTAGTTTTTTTTGTTTACGTGCGTTCATTATTATTTTCCAACTGTCAATTGGCTATGTTTTGTCTTCTAGCTAGTGTTTGCGAAGCGCAGCCTCGCCTCTGGGCGAGAATTTGAGATAGTTATAAAAATGCTTGCTATATCTCGTTAAAATCTTTGCGAAATTATTCTGAAATTTCGTTTTTTTACTCGTCTGTTGGAGATGGGCATTTATAGCATCTCTGAGCGGATTTGCAGTTAACCTATGAGCGGGTTAAGATTTGAGAGCTTTAGAGCAAAGAATCTTCAACTGAAGAAGCGGCTGCCTAAGCTCGGTTTTTAAAAAGTTTTGAGATAAATATCCGCATTTTTTTTGTTCAGCTCTTTATCACACCACGCCAAAAAAAACGACTTTAATTCGCAAAAACTTTGCTGTATTTTTTGAAGAGTGTTGTCGGAAAATTCTCTGCCACTTGTAAAGTTGCCCGCTTTCCTTGTTTTAGTTGTTTTCAGGGCATTATTGCATGGTCTGTTTGAGTTTATTTGAATTGAGTTTACTGTAGAAGTATGTGTGAGCGTGTTTCAAATATGTTTAATTTCAAAGATGGTTTCACTTCTTTTCTTTGCCGTTGCCCGTGGTCCGATAGTCATGATTTTCTTAGTCACATTTTGTTGGTGATTTCACTCAAAATTGTAAAAGTTTTTATGGGTTTCTTTTTTTTGCCATTTAGCGCGTTTGAGCTAAGTTTGAGTACGGTTTAATCATATGATCTAGGTAAAAATTGTATATAAAGAATACTATTTAACGTGCACATCCGATGCCAATGAAAGCCCGAGCCCTCTTTGGCAACACGTGCGAGTGTGGGCAGGTAGTTGAAGACAAATATTCTAGTTGTTTTTCCGAAAAGTCATTATTGAAAAACAATGACTCTTTCTAAATGCAATTTGTGATCGCGAGTGCATTAGTGTTATTATCACTCGACCCCATTCGATTTTTTTGTTCAGGCGGAAAAAAAACACCTGAGTACAAAGTGTTTCGCTACAAGTTTAATTGTACGTATCATCAGCAGTATATAACCTCTCGCTGCCGTTCCTGTTGTGGGGAGTGTTTTTGTAGAAGTTTTTTTTTCCTGCGTCTTTTGTAGACGTTTTTTTGCCCTGTGGGCTTTTTTGTAGACGTTTTTTTGTCCTGTCTGTTTTGTAGACGTTTTTTTTCCTGTGTATTTGTAGACGTTTTTTTTTCTTACTGTGTGTTTCGTAGGCGTTTTTTGCCCTGTTTGGTTTTGTAGGCTTGTTTTTTGTTTTATGTGTTTTGTAGACGTTCTCATGTCCAGTGTGTTTTTTTTAGACGTTTTTTGTCTTGTTTGTTTTGTAGACATTTTTTTGTTCTTTGTGTTTTGTAGACGTTTTTTGTCGTGTGTGTTTTGTAGAAACTGTTTTGTCCTGTATGTTTTTAGACTTTTTTTGTCCAATGTGTTTTGTAGACGTTTTTTTTTATCCTGTATGTTTTTAGACGTATTTTTTTTGTCCTGTGTGATATATGTCTGTGATTTCGAATCCGATAAATAGCGAAGACCAGCTTCTATTATTATTTGTTCTTGAATAGAGTACGCCAACTATATGAGTTATTTCTCTATTGACCTTGAGTCTCCATTGACCTTGAGAAAAATTTTATAGAATTTTTTTTTCGAATTTCTGTTCCTTTACAGATTTGGCATCTCTGTCTCTATTTTTATTGCTGTCTGTTGCCCGAGTTGACATCCATACACAGATATGCTTATCATACAATTCTATACATCAAGTGTATCGAAAAATGGTAGTCATTCATTTTTCAAACAACTTTTAAAAAATGGTTGAAAAAAGATATGAACTAATTTTTCGCCTTTTTGATTCTAATAGAACAGTCTGGTGGTAAAAAAAACCGAATTTCATGTTTTTTGGAAAACAAGTTTATCATACAAGTCCTGTATATGACAATTGAACGTTAAACATTTCATCATTATGATTAAAGTTTTCAGAAATCCATTAAAAAATTCATTTGAGTTAAATGTTTTTTGCTGAATTATAAATTTTTTCCTTGAATATAAGATTGCAGTTGGAAATAAAAAAAAATACTAAAGGCTGTTTTAATGCTAGTAGTTGTTTTTGTCTGTTTTTCTAAAATTTATTAATTCACAAAAAATTGTTGAGTTTTTTTTTATTTTCGAATTGGCTATTTCCATCTCACTTTCTTTTTGGTAGCTTCCAATGCTATGTTTTTAGTGCATGGCATAAGATGTCCAGCTCGGCTTTGCTTCTGTGTTATTAATATTAGTTTAATGCTTTGGTAGACAATAAATTTTATTTAAATGTCTTAATAATGAAGTTGCTCTTAAGATTTTTTGATGTTTGTAAATGTTGTCTGATGTTTTGTTTGTGTTCAAGTTATAAGTTTATGTTAATGTGTTTTCAGGGTCACTCTTGCTTGCTACTTGGTAGTTAATATGGGAGGAAAATTATTTTGTCTTCGGACACAAGAAATTCTATACCTTCCTGTTGGCTAACTCCTTATCTGAGCTCGCTCAAGATTAATTTTCTAGCTTTCAGCCAGGTTTGTAGGCATTTGCCATTTTTAAATTTCAATTGAGTAGTATAGAGGTCTGCTATACGGAGGCTTTTGAGGGAGAGGGGGGCTTCTCGTGGGCGCCTAAGATCCTTAATTTTCGCTCCTCAGATCAAAAGGTAAGGATTTTGCATTTTCCCAGCGCTTTGCCCTCCTATCTCCGAAATAGTGCTGGGATCCTTATTTTAGGATCCAAAATTTTTTTGAGCCTCTCAACTAAAATTTTACCAATCATAGTCGCAAAATGCTGGTTCTCTGGCGGACATTAATTTTTTTTGTTTTTGAGAGGTTTTTGTTAGTCTGGAATCTTGTAAAACTTTGATTAAATGTTGAATAATAAAATAGGTAAAATGAGTTTAATCGGAAATTGGC